GGACCTTGTGTCTAGAAACTCAACTATTTCACTCTTTATAGAAGTAAGATTCAAAATGAATGAATTCAAAAAATAACCCATTACATAAATTTTCGCCAGTGAATCGCCAAAAAATATTCTGCCAAAATGTTAATTCTCACTCAAAACTGCAGTCATAAAAAACATATAGAAATGATAGTTAAGTAAAATTAAGGACCTTTTACCAACTTGGCAGAAATCAAGGACTTTTAGGGGTCAAATATCATTTCCAAAAAACTTATGGACTGTACAAACCATATCTCAAGCAAACTGTTTACTGTAGATGGCTTAATGAGATACCACAAAACAGTCCTATTCAGAATTGAGACTAATTTTCACCTTATTGGACATAGACTGCTCTTCACAGAATTTGCAGCACTAAAAACGACATGAGTTATAACAAATATATTTAACAGAGAAAACATATATATTTTCATATATATAAATAATTATCATTTCAAAACTGCAAGCCAAAAGCAATATACCAAATCCGGTACTTTAGTACTCTACAACAGTAATGGTCAACATACATTTCGGATGGCTGTCTAAGGAATGATGTCTAGATCGACTATATATCCTTGTCTCATCAGTAAGTGTTGATATACCATGTGTTCCACAGCAGATAATTCAGGTAATCATGCAATTCAGGTAAGCCAAGGAAGAGCCAAGACACTACTTAACAATCAAGCAAGAAATGTTGAACCTAACATGGGCAGTAGAACTGTCCTGTTACAATGTAGCCTATCAGAATCTGATGAACACCACACATGGGCACTTAAGCCTAACTGCCATGCACATTTGCCTCTCTGCCATGTGATACTGAGTCAGAACAGATATCACAAGATTGGATGCCATGAATTGGGCTTTCATGTATGCACCTAATTTCATGTGATGTGCAATGGCTGATAAGTTATGCGATGATTTACTTTTGTCATTAAATGCTTTTAATGAGTTAAATGGAGATGATAAGCGAAAATGCAAATAAAAAAAATGAATGCAAAATCAAAAACGTTTTTAGCAACAGTTTGGTTGAAATGCCTTTTTACCTAACGTGAAAATTTTGATGAAATATTTAACTATGACAGGGAAAAGTTTATTAATGAAAAATATAAGGAAATTATTAAGAAAACAATGGAATGCTGTGCACTGCTGCATGAAGAGACAGTTAAAGATGATTCTAAAAATAGCATGACAACAAATAAATGATCCATCTTTAGAAGCATGCTGGCAAGATACTAAGAATGGAAGTAATGATTTCCATTGTTCCTATTTGATTGTTATTACTAATACTTTTATATTAAAAAAATAAGATTTTAAGAGAAAGAGCTCAATAGTTAGTTAATCCCAAAGAGAGACGAAGAAAAATTTTGGACTTAGCTCATTCTAACTTACGGGGAGGTCACCAGTGAACCAAGAAGGCTGCTGAACAATTGAGATATTCCTCCTAGTGGCCTGGTATCCTTTTGATGAATAAAATCAAAAAGGGAACACTGTTTTTGATGTAACATGCTGTGAATTCCTATTATCTCAATCACATGTCCTAAAGAACCATTCCATATAATCAATGTGGGAATCATGGTATCTATGAAACCAAACTGTCGAGATTACAAATATGTGCTGTGTACTGTTGACCAATCTGGTGAGAACAGGATAGTGGTCGCTGATTACAGATTTTATTACTTCCCAGTGAGAATTATTTGTAGTTTGGTAGCTTGTAGTGGTGGTATCTAGAGCAGACACAGTAAAATTGGTTCTAGAGACATAAGTGCTTTCTCCGTGTTAAGAATAGTCAAATTTTAGTCAGCAACCAGGTCCTCAATTTGGTTTCTCTTGGAATCCAGTAGTTGGCAACTCCATGAATGGCTTTTAGCGTTGAAGTCTCCAAGAATGATTTTTGTCTCAGCTGTGGTATCTGCAAGACTCTGGAGGAGATCGGTATCAATTGGTGAATTATCTGGATGGTAAGCATTTACCACAGTAATAGTATACTTAGGAAGAAATTATTGCTTGAGCCTTGGTGTTACTGTTGGCAGAAGATGAGGTCTGAGGGATTTCTGTAAACTTTAGCTCTGGAGGTTTTACTAAGAAAGCAATGTCTCCATCAATACCAGTGAGCCTATCACCATGAATCCTCTAATACTTAAGTTTAAATTAGGATTCAGTTTCGTTTCTTGGAAGCAGGCAATGTGAACATTGTTTGAATGCAGAATAAAGGACATTTCGTTCCATTTCTTTTGCACGCCATTAATATTAAGTTGGTGGAAATTCACTGTCCACATAGGAAACTTCTCGACATGGTCCCGGACTGCAGAACCGGAAGCGTCGGCTCCCCCGTATGCAGTACCATTAAGACTAGACTCCAATATGACTATACTCCATTCTAGATGCTCAGTGGCTCATTACAGATTTTGAAAAGCAGCCTAATGGCCCATTATCTATCTTAAAAATGCCATGGGCTGATGAAACTCCTATTCTTCATGGACAACTAAGCTCACTAAACATTATCTGAATGACTTGAAGTCATAAAATGCTGCAGAATATGCATGACTTACAGCAGTTGGAAAGCCACAAGCTTATGCACTCTACCATAACCAGAAGACTCGTCATAAAGAATTTAAGAAAAGTTGCACAGTTACAGTCTTAACCTCTGGTGAAAACAAACAAAGTTTATGCAAGATGGAAGGCACCAGCTATAATCATTGAAAAGCATACTAATTACAGTTACATAGATCAAATGTCCAATGACACTTTGAAGCATGTTCATGCACACAAGAATTAGAGTTCATGATTGCTGCAAATAATGTCAGTGAGATATATGATGCAGACACTGATTCTAGAGAAGTTGAAAACATTCCAAGAGTTATACCACTGAATGTAGAAGAATATTATCCTGATGAAGAGTTTGATCAGACGTACCTCAAACCATGCAAGAGAAATAGAAATTTTAAGACAGCAAGTCAATCTCAAACCTGTTATTCTGAAAACTCATTTGGATAAATCAAACTACAGAAAACATCAAACTCAAGCCTGAAAGTGTGTGAAAGTAGCAGAAGGAATTATAAGAATATGTATGGACTACTGTTACCTGAACTCACAAACTGAAATTGATGCCTTTCCAACAAAAAATGCCACAAAATGTTTTTAAAGGGAGTAATAAAAACGGATGTTGTATTTAATAGAAAATAAAAACACATTCCTATAAAAAGATAATACTATCTCATTAATTCTTTTAGAGTTGATCGATTTATTTAGCAAATCTACACTTTATGTAGTCACCATTTTGGGGCTTATATTGCTCTATTTTCAATTAGAATAATTGTTTCACGTCAATTTGCTAATAGCAAGTATTTTCTCTTCTTGTTGCTTTGTATTCCTTACTTTTCTACGTGATTCGAGAATATCGTCATTTGTTTTTGAAGCACTCGTAATATATTGCGCACTGAAATATTTGTAAAAAAATAATAAAACAAACCTAGATTTTTCAAAATGGAAAAATGGCTAGGATTGACTAAGCGGAAAAGTAATGATTCACAGGTGATGAATCCAGGACAATCGACTAGCACTAAGAATACTGAAGAGAAAAGAAAATTGTGTATAGAAAATCTAATGACAGTTATTTATCATTTAGGTTCACTGGGAATGAAAATTAAATGGACCCTCAACCTCTGTGTGTTGTTTGTGGTGAAATATTATTCAATAAAAGTATTAAACCATCATCTCTTAAAAGATATCTTGAATACATGGCAGTTTAAAGGATAAATCTGAAGAACATTTTAAGGGGAAATTACCAGAGTTAAACAATAATAAATAAATATGATACAGTAAGTTGACGAATTCATGAAATGGCAAATTCCATAAAAAAAGACACTTGTTCAAAAAAAATGAAACACAGTGAGTATTTTGCATTGCAACTGAATGAAAGTACTGATACAACAAACTTTGTTCAATTATTAGTTTACATATGTTTCAAAGAAGATAAACAAATTGCCGATGAGTATTTATTTTGTGAATCTCTTCATGATAGAACTGCAAATGAAATTTTCAAAGTAATTGACAATTTTATATTTGAGAATGATATTCCTTGAATAAGTGCACTGCTGTATGCAGTGGCAGAATAATTATTATTAGCTAGAATTAAATCGAAACATTAAATATTTTAAGCTTTACTGAATGGCTGCCCGCTGGCACATGGAAAATTGAAGTATTTTATTTCAGGCAGTACAACACATATGTTAAATAGTTGGATTTACTGATTAGAATAGAAAGATAAATGTTTTCCATTCTGCTGAATGCAACAGAACAGTACATCGGAGATAAAAATGTTTTTATTTCAAACAGTGTTGCCACTACTCACTTTCAGATCATTTAGATTGTTAATAAAAAAATTCCTTAAATTTGTTAAAAAAATGAAATTAGTCAAAGATAAATTCAAAATTCTGGCTTTGAGAGGCACATGTTCGGGTACGGGACTACTTAAGTTCAAAACCTGGTGGCTCTAGATACCACTGCTTTTCTGCAGTTATTGGAACATACAAACATACATAAACGCAGATTCTTCAATATTTAATTGAAGAGATAATTCTTTAATAGAAAAATTATTATAAATTTCTTCACTTAATAAAGGATTATTTCTTACCACTCAGCAAACTTAACATTTTAAAAACATTAAAAAGTCTTGCTATGGCATTAGATGAAACACAATTCATAAACTTATTATACATAAATTAAATAATATTAAGTGAATCAATAATTAAAAAACTGCTATTTTGCAGTAAAAAAATATATGTGCAGTTTAGTTTTTATGCATTTCAATGGAGTGCACAGACATTTAAATAAACCTAATAGCATTAACAAATAGCTATTCATAAAATTTTTATTAATGAACATGAATTATTAAAAAACAGAACTGATTTTTAGACTCTTATAATTCTAGATAAAGTAATTAAAATGGATGAAAAATATCTAATAAATATTTAATTTACCAGCAACAATCTGTTTCTTTACCAATGAGAGACGATACCCGAGTCCACATAACTCAAAATCGGCACCAGATAAAGAAGAATTATTGCAGATAAACTGAGCAGCCAAAGCACATGCTGTAGATGGACCTGCGCTCAAATCAAAATGAGCCCGCAGAGAACCAAGACCTCCACCTTCACCAGTATTGGAAAGTTCAGATAGTTTCCATATAGCACGGCTTGTTTCACTATTCCTATACAAATAATAAGCATCAAACTATGTTGGTAAAAATGTTACACCTATTAACAGAATGACCCAATTTTCTCTCTATAATATATTTGCATTAAATTACATTCAATAATGAAAAGCATTTAATCAAGAATACTTTCAGTACCATTCTTATACTGGCCACCATTTCTTTAAGTTGGGGGGGGGGAAGGTTGATTTTTCAATACTTTTGCTTCTGACAAAATTCCAACTCAGTTTTATATATTTACACAGTCATAATAAACACATAAATAAAATTAAAGCTTACAATTTCTTTGAGGTTTTCTGGTGTATATTAATTGAAAAGAATTAAGGAAACAGAGCATAACTTTAATTTTCACTTCCCTTTAAATGTGATTCATTATGCCAAATGATATCTATATTACTATATGATAATATTATTTATTTTTAAGTAAGCCACCCACATGGGATAGAGGTTAGTGACCAGTTATTAACTCCCATACCGATAGGTTCAGTTTTGAATCATGGAAAAGGCATGGCAGTTTGTAAATGCATAGCATCTGTGCAGCACAGAGCATTCAAAATATATGGAAAGCCAAAAGTCCTCTTGGGTGGTTTGGTGGTAAAGGAAGAACAGGAGACCTGCAGAAGAAATGAAAATGTGCCTCAACTGAGAGATTTTGAGAGTGTATTTTGCAGTTAAAACTTACTGTTTCAATGCCATCTTCAACTACTCTCAAGATGAAGCATAAATTCATAAGTCTAACTCTCTTGTATTATAGTTTTATTGTTATCACTCAGAAGGAACCCAAATTAAAAATTTATAAAATATACCAGATCTAAGATAATGTACTAGCAGTAATTACCTTATCCAGCACTAAGGATGCAGGACAAGATATTTGACTAAAGGCTGGCAGGTTTCTCCCCTAAATATTTTCAGAGACTATGAAAAATTATTCATCTGGAATACTGTATTGACATTAATTTTTTATATACATCTGATTTTAAAATCATAATAAATCTCAGCATAATAATGCATTAAATGGCTATTTCAACACATATTAATTCATTCTTTTTATAAATATTTTTTCTCGGATATGAGGAGCTACAAAAACAAATTAATTTTATAGTTATGACAAATAAAATTTTAGAAGTGTTTTACAGTTCATTTTATGCTATTACAAAGAGAAAGAATCATTTTATGCTTTTAAAAAGTAATGATAAAATAAATATATAATTTTTCATGCAATTTTTTATAAAAAGTGCAAAATTAAATTAAAAAATTAGATAAAGTGTGCCTTTAGATCAACTTCAGTTTAAAACACACAAAATCTAACTAATCAGGATATGCTTTTAACATAGATAAATGCACTTACCAAAGCACTTTTGGTTTTGACTGTACCTCAGTAACACCACCATTTACAGGAACAATTATGTTAACATTTGTCAATGGTGCTGGTGTTGCTAAAGAGGAAGGATTATATTTGTAGTCTATTCTCAGATCTGTGGATAATGGTTCACATTTCCAATATGCTACCAAATGCAATGGAGTGCTTTTTGCTCCCTGAAGAGCTTTGATCTAAATAAGAAATATATAGAGAGTTAAAATATAATTTTAATACATTTCTGGCATCTGAATATTTATATTTTTGATATTACACAGGCAATATAAGAAATTGCTGCTGTTTCCAGTCTCATGGTGCTGTCTGTAATTTGATGATGAGGAGAACTGTGGAGAATTCTTTAAGTAGCAGCCAGACATAAAAAGATGGCAAAAAGCTTTCTCATTCTCATACAATATGGAACAGAATTTATTGATTGATACTCCGGCAGCCATCAGTGAAACATCAAACTAACCTCGCTTATGTCATGTAATAATGACTGGTCTTTCTGTAATTAGTATGCTTGCTACTAATATGGATTCCCGCCTGCGATTATTCTTTGTATCAAATGACTTATAACCAATATTTATTTTTGTTATCTGTATGTATGTGTTAAACATTAGTTAAAATAATCAATTCAAAAAAAAAAAAAAAAAAAAAAAAAAAAAAAAAAAACTAATTATCTTCATTCTTTGCAATAAGACACAGAATGATGACGTTACAATCCCAACATGACAGAAACAAGTGCTATTGGCAAATGCAGTTTTGTTTTCATTAATGGCAATGTTAGCCAACAGACATTAAAAGTTGATGCCTTTTTGTTGCTATGCTAGAATGGAGGCATGAACCAAGGACCCTTTCAACTAGCATGATAATCTAAATTATCAAGGAAATGGTGCACTTTTGCTCTGATTTTAATTTTAAAGTTAAACAACGAAAATCAGTGTTATGTTTTCAAATTTTCACAGGACTAGTTTCGATGACAAGACCATCGTTTAAGATATTGTTATTATTGTTATGCATAATATTAAACATTTTGTTTACTACTGTCCATTATTTTGACAAAAGCACATTATTTAAAAAATTAAATATAAGGAAATTAATTTGGAATAAATCATTTACATAATATAAGCTTTATAAAATTACTTTGCACTCTCTAATAAATAAAATCCATTTAATTACATATGGGTAAAAAGAAACCTACTTACATGATACTTTAAAATATCTATGTTGAAATATGAAGCAGATGGCGACTGTTCAAACTGCTTCCTTAGTAGTGCAGTCAATGCTTGCATATTAAATTCATATATATATTGTTCCTTGGTGCTTTGACTAGGGTCTCTGAAATATATATAAATGCAGGCATTATATACATGTAAAACACATATTAATTTCCTATCTATGTGTACATATAAAAAGAATGATATTCATACTATAAAAATATCAATAACTTCAGAAGCATTCACATATAATAAACATACAGCTATGAGTATACTTCTGATGTTAAAAGCGAATACAACATTTTATATATTCAGATGAAAAACTGATATGTGGCATAAAACTATTCGCAATACATTAATCACTTAAATGGGAAATGATCAAATACAGCTAAATCAATGGCACACAGCTCTACACAGTAGGTCTCTATAGTTCAGATTGCATTGTAAATATCTAACAGAAAGAAAATTTTGAATTGCTCATAAGATATTTTTTCATGATATCGTTGACCTGTTGAATTATGCCTAATTCTTGCAGCATGATTTACAATTAAAATTCAAAGAAATAAAGTACTTATACAGCAAATAACTGGAAATGTAAGGAGCATTATGAAATTACGCCTGAAAATCTCTTGTTTGTTATTATAGCATGAAAACAGCATTTTCATGCAGCAACAAAATAACAGGTCTATTTTCAAGATGCTTATTTTCAATTTCAATGGAGAGAAAACGTTTCACAGTATATTCTAAAAGCACCATAATTTCAGCAAGTGCAACAGCAACCAGAAGCAATGTACGATCTCATGAATTTCACTTCTTTATGCCCAGATGGTCATGGATATAACTTTTTATGCATATTCATACAAAATTGCAGTTGCGCAATGGAATGGATCATTAATGCCAAAAATTGTAATTAGCCCCTTCACCCATTTAAAGACTGGCTCCAAAATGCCCAGTTTCCAAAAATGCCAAGTAAAAAAGGTATGACTCCAGAGCTTAGCTACAAACAAAACAATATAAATAAATATGTACCTAGTAGTTTTCCTTCACCAAACAGTCAAAGAACTACTGTATTCTCTACATTACAATAATTCATTTTCCCATGTCTCAAGAAATATGATATACAGTCAAAAGTCTTTAATTCGGACTCGTCGGGACTTCGTCGATTCCGGATTATCGGTTTTTCTGGATTATAAATCATCAGTTTAAATCTGGTAAGATGGCATGCAGAAATTATAAAATTAAAAATATGAAACTGTAATTTATGAAATAAAGAGCAATTATGATCTAAAGGGTATCAAAATTTACAAAAAAAAAAAAAAAAAACTTAATATTTATTTGCTTATTTTATTAAACATTTCTTTCAATGCAAGTTGTTTAAGTTGCTTCGTTTTATGTGCTAATACTTTCTCTCTAATTCTATAAACAGACATAACTTCCTGTTCGGTTACAAAGTTCCGCTGACATAATCGAAAGTTCAAGCTTACTTTTATAAAATTGCTCTAACAGTCTGCAAAAAATAATCAGCCGGATCCAATTCGAAGATTAAGGAACAACGCAATCTGCAACATTAACTGAAATAGATAATTTTAGTTTAGCTTATACCGTCCGTTATACATTAAACGCGCATGCGTAAATGTATTATGTGCATGCGTAAGCGTATTATGTGCATGTGTAAACGTATTAGCGCATGCGTAAATGCATTATGCATAATGCATTTACGCATGCGCAGAAAGTTTGTAGCTTTGAGGTCCGGATAGATCATTCCGGATTATGGACGTTCAGATTAAAGATTTTTGATTGTACTTACATTTCCCTTATCTAATTTCTTTTCCCATCTGAACACAATAATTCGTGACAAACATCATTTTTTTTACATAACTATATATGGCTAAACATCAAATGATGAATAGCTATTTGGCAGAAAATTAGCAAATTCATTCTTTATTCTTCATCTATTAATAAGTTACTGCTAGAAATATAAAAAAAAAATGTATAAAGGGCAGAGGGAAGCATGGAAGTGATCAAAGTTACATAGTATTTCTGCCATTTTTTGTAACTGATTAAAACTACAGCAGCTGAATGCGTTGTTAGATGATTAACATATAAAATTTTTGTCAAACTTTGCTTATGAAATCATACTATGGTAAAATATCTGGAACAAATTGTAATCATATTTTTAAGAACAGCAGATGATGAGCCTACACGAAACTGGCACATCAACTAGACAGATGGGTGCACATTTGGACAGAAATACGACAGTGGCTTAAGAATGTCCTTAAAAAGTGCCCAAAGAAAGCATTCGACTGTCATGCTGGGTCTGGAGCCCCAGCAAATAATTTCCAGTCATCTGGAAATGGAATTTATATGTACACTGTCTAAATGGTCATTTATCACTGCCACCTACTCTTGAACTGGTGATATGCCAAATTGGAGATTTTTAATTTTATCTGAACAGACCATTCAAATCTTATTAAAATAATTCTGAAGATTTATTTGATTACAAACAATATTTTAATAATCTATTGGAAGTCCTATGCACAGAGACATTCAGAATTTTACATAAACTTGGGGGTGAGGGAAAAGAACAGAATTAAGTATTAGTCAATGCTATGAATGTAATAAACACATGCTGGATTACAGTATAATCAACATGAAAACAGGGACAGGGGTTCTTTCTTTCAGCTACTACAAACTGGTAATCTGTGACATGTATACAAGAAAGATATTAAAAGGGAACTCATGGGTAAATTTAAATCTCTAGATTTATAAAGGACACTTATTAATCCTCTATGACCTATTCAGTGTCCTTGGAATTGACGATTAGCCCCTTATGAGACATCTATGGTGGTTTTGTATGCAACAGACAGATCAAGTGACATATTTGTTGCATTTTACCACTGGTAAAATATGTTAAAGTTTTTCAGCTCAATAAATACTCACAAGGATATTAACTGTTTATTTGGCAGTATGTTTTCAAGTTTACCGGCTTTTGATATTCGAAAAATGAGATGAGCAGGAGATGGATTATTGGCAAGAACTTGCACAATTCCAGCAGGAAAAGACACTTTCATATCACCCATCAAGCGAACTTGACACCTGAAATAAGAATGATAAAAAGTGTAATATAATTCTTATTATATAAAAAATAAGCATTGATTGGGAGAAATACTACAGAGGGTGTCTGCACATTTTTAGAATGATTTCGATAAAGAATTAAATAAATAAATAAACCTGTTTTGAAATAAAAATTTCTGGCAACAGCTAATTATTCGAAATGAGAAATACTGACAACTACTTTCAAAATTATTCTTCTTTTTAAATGTGCATGTAAACATGCTCTGTATTGAAGGATATATTTTTGCATTTTTTGAAGAGATATATATCTATTCTGTAATTAAAAAATATTGCAAAATTCACGATACTAAAATTTCTAAAGGCAAAATAAGAACAATATTAATCGGAAAGGGAAAAACCAACAATCATTTCTTCTACCTGGGAAGAAAACTCCAAAGGAATGTTCATAAAAGGTATATATGATTTCTAATGTTTCTGAAACTAAACTGCTGGTAACAAGAGAAATTCCACTGATGCAGAAATCAATTGCAGTCTTTAAATACATCTGTAAACACATTGATAAAATAATAAATTAAGATTTATATGACCTTAAAAAAGCTGAAAAACAGACTCACGAGCTATTTGCTGAGGCATGCGGCTCAATGCAGAACAATGTGTTTACCTAAATGACTATAACAACAACAAAAAAAGGGGGATCTATTCATTATCGAAAATGAAGAGGGACAAAAATGTACCAATCTTGTTCCATCAACATTAAGAAAATTTTGGTAAGGGATTTTTATGACCGCATGAAACTCAGAGTTCTCTTACAATGGGAAATTAAAAACAAGAAGAGTGGAAAAAAAGATCAAAATTAAACTCCATATACTATCACAGGAAAGTTGTATGCCTGATATTTACAGAAGAAATTCCATTTCTTTATTCCAATGACTCTCAAAGAGTGAAATTTCATTAAGACAAAGCAAAAAGTCATAATTCAAAAAGTAGCATTGTATTCCTTGAAAAAATGAATATATCATGATATAGGTATTGCATATATACTGCAAAGCATCCTAATGCTTCACCTAGGAACTATTGTGACTTTGGTTGCTTGAAAAAAGTTCTTTCTCTTTTTTCTACCCACCACAACTGGTGGACTCAGGAAAGAAGTTAAGAAGGAATGGAAATTGACAGCCATGGAAGTTTTATGAAAAACTCTTCTTTCATAGAAATCATGATATAAACTTACAGTCCAGAAAAATGGTTAACAGAATGAACATTTAAAAAATACTCTTTATCATTCTAAAAATATATAAACACCATCTATACATGTGATATACATGATGCGATACGTACATCTATATATGTTTCATCACATACCATATCAATTAAATAAATAAAAAGAAAGAGACATAGTACTACCTACTATGTGTACATGATTGATCTTTCAGACAAAATATACTTTGACATGAATATATGTTCTAATGAATGAAATAAAACTATCGGGTTTTAACAAAAGTATCCCCCACTGCAAATATCATCTGCACAAACAGTTCATATTGCCGTGTTAAATCATATTTTGTCAAATGATTTTTGGCATTTGAAAGATAGAGACTTGCTTTAGAACACTATATCAAGAAATTTGTAAAAAAATATCGTTGTCATTGTCTGAAATGGAACTATCTTTGCTAGTAGATTAGAACCATCATTTGCTTCCAGTTCTGTTGCAAAAAGTCAGCTACAGAATGTCACCAATCATGTGTACAGCTTTAGGTACTAGTGTTGTATCATATGACACTGTGAAGGTTTGGTACCGAAAGTTAAAAAACAAGCACTATGATAATCAAGAAGCAGAGTGCTCTGGCCGGCCAGATGTTGATGCGGCCCACCTGCGAGAACTTGTCGAAGATCAGTATGCAACCACTTGAGGGCTTGCTAAGGAATTAGATATTAGTGCCATGTCCATTAATCATGCTATGCATCACATAAACTTGACGTATGAGTTCAATCACTGGATACTGCATGAGCTGACTCAAGAGGATAAGGACAGATGTGTTAGGACCTGTACTATTCTTCTCAAATATCACAGTAAGGACAAAATTGTGGACTGGACCCTCACTTGTGACGACAAAAGGATTTTTTTTAACAATACAGGTTGAAAAGGGGGGTGGTCTGCGTCCAGGAATCCTGGCAGCAGTGTCGCAAAATGTAGTTTGACTAACAAAAAATATCATGCTTTGTATCTGATGAGATTGCCATAGTATTATCCACAAAGAATATCTGAATAAAGGTAAAACCCTTGACAATACCTCGAACCGAGTTCTGGCACAAAAAGGTAATGTTCCATCAAGATAATGTATGACTGTATGTGTCTGCTTTCACCAGCTGGACTCTGTATGGTCACGAATGGGATCTTTTATCACATCCACCTTATAGCCCCGATATCGCTCTTTCAGACTTCTACCTTTGTTCACATGTGCAGCTACGTCTTATTGATGCTATTTTAAATTCTGCAGAGGGTATCTGAAATGAGGTTGATCAGTTTTGGACTCACGTCAGCCAAGTTTCCGGGCCAAAAATTTTGGAAAACTACCAAAACATTGGCAGAAAATCATAGATTTCGGTTGTGATTACTACCCGCATTAAAGATACTGCTTTCATGTTTTCCCCCCAACTTTACTAAGAACGTATTTTCGCGAAAAACTTTTGCTACAAGCAAATATAATGGCAACTTTGTTTTATAAACAGTTTAGAATGGACAACAGCACAGAACTGATGATAAAATTTTCAACAGTTTCCAATAAGGTAGCTTTGGTTAGTGAAAACTCAATAACAAAGCACTACATTGCAAACAAATATAAATGGATGTGGCTGGATATAAAAACAGTATGCAGAATAGATTTATTTGGGGATAATGTTAAATCATATAGTTCATGAATTTAATAAATGCACTGCATTATTGAATAAAGTCTATCTTTACGGACATTCCATCCACATTTATTTCTGTAGTTTTAACCTTTTCAGCATTTTCATATACAGAATTTAGAAATTATTAAAACAATGAAGGGTTTTTTTATATATATAGATTTCTAAAAAAATTTTCATGCCTTATGAATGAACACATTTTTGGGCTCTGATGAAAGCTACTAAGCATGTTAAAAATACAGATGTTACTCAAAAACAATCCTGAATTTTTCAGTGATTATCAGTTATAAAATATAAGAAATAAAATAACTTTTTAAAAAACATTCTAATATGAAATTATACTATTACTTGTGAAAGCAACATACAATCATTTAATCTGATACCTGAAAGGTTTCAACACATTAAAGATCTGCATTTAATCATTTTAAATAATATCAAAATATATTTATGTTTTAACACATGAAACATTAAGAGAATGTTCAATACATATTATAGCATATATGAGAAAAATCATACCTTGTCTCATCAGTTCCTTTGAAACACGCATTGACAACTTCATTAAAAGCTACTGCTAAAGGAATAGTATCACTCATGCCAATGGTCAAAGGAGAAGGTCCTCTGGATGAGCCAACAGGCATTGATGTTGTTTTAAAATCACTGGTAAGGCTTCCAATACTTTCTGTTCTTGTCATTGAATATGGAAGAGGAGACATACGACCTCGAGACGTAGTCTTTAGGACAAAAGAAATTAATATAAAAATTTATAAATAAAAATTTTGAAAAAGGTCTATTTTAAAATTTAAGATTTATCAACTGGTTACAGAGACTAGTACCAATATGTGATGAAAAACTGAACTCTGTTGATCCAGAATGTTATAACCGCTATAGGAAATAATGCAAGCTGCCTCACAGACAGCAGAATTCTTTACCTTTGGAGTCATCCAAACTGATAAATATATATTGAGACTTTCCAAAATATCAGTGCTTCACTAGCCTTTTTCCTACCAATCTGTTTTAATATCAGAGATAATGACTCTTTGCACAGTTAAAAACAGGAAAGGGTTTTCTTACCTCTAATAGATTCATGCTGATTTCTTCAAAATTAATTTCAATGATTTTATATGGGAGTTTTAAAGTTGTGATTGCACTGATCCAATACCCAAATTCAAGATATAGTGATATAATATGTATACACATACACACACACACATATATATATATAAACAGTATTTGATAATTTCTAAGGCATCCACAAATTAATATTATTTTTAAAGGTTTTTCTAAATGTAAATTACAAAATCATGATTGAAATTTATCAGATGCAAAATCAATATTCCTCACTTTTTAAAGTAAAACTAGAAACTTATGTCAAAGTAAACTAAAGAGAAAAAGATGCATTTGTTATAGCAGAAATATTTGGAACTTATAAAATAACAGCGCTATTGACTGGAAACTTATAAAATCTTACTCAGAAGAAGCAGCTTCTAAAACTTCCTTTTCATCTTCATTTAGAAGCTCTTGTAATGTTTGGTTAATTGCAGCTTTCATTTACAAAATGTCTTCTTTATTTTTATTTTCTATTTTATTGTAATGCACATGTTGGCATGGTGGAGTATTAAGTCATAAGACAAAAGAAAAGCTGGTTTAACCCCTTTGCGCCGACTGTCACGTATACGTGCCAGCAACGAACACACTTATCTACCGGCCGACACGCAGGCATGCCAGAGCAATGTTCAGTTTTCTTCCGAATGTCACGTATTTGTACCAGTACCTTGGAACGTTTCTCAAACTATAATTTCTGCCACAAGATGGCACTGTATGCCCATATGGTTTCAGATACATGTACATTAGACATTCTACTCGAAATGAGAGAAGCATGACTCACATACACGTGTTTTTTATTATATAAACAAACAGGGAACTAAATGTTTCCGAATGGTGTGATTTATGACGTCTCTTTAAATCGCACTGTATTCGCACGTGGTAGATGTTTATTGTAAGTAGAAGTTTTATATGCGCTAAAGCGTCGAGTATTTCGGTTTACAGTTCAGTTTTTAGAAAATAATTAGATCTTGTTAGACATGAATTCTTACCGTTTCAATGTCGAAGCGTCGAAAATGTTTAACAGAGCATGAAATAGCAGAAATGATGCAAAATATTTCAGATATTGATTCTGAAAGATTAACTGAAAGACATTTTCCAAAACTTTGTTCAGAAGAGACTGATAAGAAAATGAGACGACGGTGCTTCGTTTGTTCACATTCCCAGAAAAATCCTCCAAAATGGCAAATGAGTTATTACGAGTTCCAGGAATGTAACGTAGGACTGTGTGTAGATCTCTGTTTTAAAATTTTTCATACGAAAAGAGAATTTTAAGTAATATATTTAGTTTTCAGATGTATAATGTTAAAAGTCATAAAATGGTGAGTAATTAAAATAAATGTGTAAAATATGCATTTAAACAAGAAATAAGGTAATTAAAGTATATATATATAAAAATATCTATAAAGCATAAGCCGTTTAAATACTCTATAGAGCATTATTAAACAATGCGTTGATACTTCGGAAATTTCATGGATTTAGGCTTAGTAGCAAAAAAGCCCCCGGCCCTGGAGAGACGCTCGCGGAAGACACTGCCGGCCTCCGCGATAAGCGCGCGTTTTCGCTACCCGGCTCGAAGGGGTTAATAAACTCTGATACAATGTCTTTAAATAAATTGTTACTCATTGAATGAAAAACAAATTAATACAAGTCTTTGCTGCATAACTGTTCTAAGAACATGGAATGATGGCAAAATGGAGCATACAATACAGCAAAAGGTTTTATTAAGGAGCAGATAAAATATATATCGCCATTTTTCATGAGATAAATATACAGTAATTGCAAACGTTTTATTGAGAAACTTTTTTTTTTTTATTTACTTACTTTTTAAGAGAATTTTATATTAAATTTATGCTTATTTTTTTGCACATTCTTCTTAGCACTGAGAGTTAAACTGCTCACAGATAAGAAAATATTTATCACGCTTATTTTTAACAGTGAGAATAGTAGTCGTGTCTTGATTTACATTAGACATTTTTCAACTTTCTACGGAGCTTTTTATCATAACTCAAGAAGTCTTCATTTCTCCCTCAAAAAATGAAAGAAGAGATTCCAGTTAGAAGAGCATTCTAGATAAGCATTTCACTAAAGTTCACCAACATGCATGTACGTTTTAATATTTTTCTTGGTTCATTATTACACAAATGTTGAAATAGTTTCAATTTTTCTTTCCTTTAAAGAACTCTTTTACAGAGTGTAAAAAATATCAACAATTTATTCACCTGCATTTACGGTAAAAGAAATTGTACCTAAGTGGCCTGCAACACCAATCATTAAAAGCCTATCATTAGTGGTTAAAACCAAAAACCCCAAAATCTAGAAAAAATAAAATAAAATAAAATAAAAATAAAAATAAAAAATAAAAGAATAGAAATCTTCTTCAGATTTTTAACAATTAACTCTACTAATTTAAGCCTGTCAAATCAAAATTGGGGACACTAAGTAAACAAATTAAATTTCTGAAGATTCTAGATATAAAAGAGAGGGAGCCATCTGGATACGCTTTCACATCCATACTATTGCTTTCATTCATAGAAAGGCTGAATTTTAATGCAACCAGCATTATAATATTTCCATTCATCATTAAAATAGTTCGATATTTTTTCAATTCGGTAAACAAAGATTTACTTTGATACTAAAAGTTGCAATGGCAATGCAGTTCCCTGCTGTTTTTTGATATGCCACTGGCTCGAACACCATAGTTATTCAATGCTTTGAGTATAGCACTCCTATATCTGAATCAACAAAGTTATACCAATTATTAGTTCCAGATGTTTCAATCTTGCACCTGTTAATTCATCAATTCCGTAAATCTTCCACAAGCCCAAATAAGTCAATAGATCCTTCTTTGATATTTTCCTTTACTGCTTGCTAACAAAAGGGTAGTCGTCTTCCTACTGGAAATTCTTGCAATAAAACACTCATTTTTTCAAGCAAATTCCCCCAAACATTCATTATTCAAGGAATAGTCTACCTGCTTGGTTCTTTATGCTTTGTTTAAAAGCCTTCATTGATCTCAACAATGTGGTCCCGCTCTTATTATCGTTCATCTTGATAAAAATATACATGCACAACTTCTCTTAGGGAACTATTCCAATTTATATCTGTCTTGTCACTTAAATCTAATACTATTTTTCCCCATTCAACTGTTGTTAACCCTTAGCATCAGCTATAGATAAATTTGAGTGCAGTCAAAAATGAAATAGTATAATATTTAACAATGCATCTTTCTGATTAGGTATAACCAACTTTGTTATACCTAATCAGAATCTGCTTTGTTTCAGATTAGGCATAACCAGCTTTTGTTTAATCTGAATCACCAGAACTGACACTTGCTTTTCACAAGTCTTAACAATGCAGTGCCATTACTTGTCTGTTTTCAAGCAAACTGCTTTACTGTGCCCATTAATACACTGCTTGGATGCCAGTAGGATTCCATAGTTTTCAAAATACAGTCAAAAGTCGTTAATCTGGACTCGTCAGGACTTCGGCGATTCCGAATTATCAATTTTTCCAGATTATAGATCATCAGTTTAAATCTGGTAAGATGGCATGCAGAAATTATAAAATTAAAAATATGAAACCGTAATTTATGAAATAAAGAACAATTATGATCTAAAGGGTATCACAATTTACAAAAAAAAAAAAAAAAAAAAGCTTAATAATTATTTGTATACTTTATTAAACATTTCTTTCAATGTAAGTTGTTCTCTTTAATTCTATAAATAGACATAATTTCTAGTTACAAAGTTCCACTGTTCAAGTCCTATAATTGCTGTGTCGAGAACACCGACTAATTTGTCAATCGAAATTTTTTCATTTTCAATAACTCTGTCACTTTCTTTGCTATCGGAAGTGAATTATAATGACGAGGAATTTGACTTAAATCATATCAAAGACGGAGTACATTGAGATGAAATACTAAATTTAGTAAGGAATTATAAGCCAAATAAAATAAAAACATCTGCCCTGAAGATAAAGATAGTGCTGACAGATCAACTTCCAATTTATTGCACGCTGCGCCGGCCTCAGCGTTAAAGATAAACAAAGGATATGCCTTTATCCATTTTTTGCAGCAATTCTACTTTTTGTTTAATGGACTTCGAAACATACTTTCGCTTTGTAGATCCTTTACATATTAGTAAATATATATCAGAAATTCTATTTGACATAATTGAAAGTTCAAGCTTACTTTTATAAAATTGCTCCAACAGTCTGCAAAAAATAATAATCCAATTCGAAGATTAAGGAACAACGCAATCTGCAATATTAATTGAATTAGATAATTTTAGCCTAGCTTATACCGTCCGTTATACATTAAACACGCATTCGTAAATGCATTTTGCGCACGCACACACGCATATTCGCAGCCGTATGCGTCAACGCGACGCATGCGCAGAAAGTTTGTAGCTTTGAGGTCCGGATTATGGGTATCCGAATTAACGACTTTTGATTGTACTGTGCTGCATTCTGTTCTGTATTGGGTAGGTCCTAAATTTTAATAATTTATTTTCCAAAATGTGAGGAGAAAAAACAAAGAATTAAGAGAAAACAGAGCTAACTAAACATGTGTTTAAAGAAAAAGATTACACTAAAATGTAAAAAGGCAAGTTTTTTCAGCACTTGAGGGAAAAAACTGCCTTTTTTAGATGAAAATGATCAATGAGATTTGCCATAAAATGCAAGAGCCTTGAAAAGAAAATAATGCTCTGGGTGATAACCACTGCAATAATTTACAAACAGAATAACAATTTTCTTAATATATACCTCTAAAGCTCTTCTGGAAGGGGGACGTGGAATAACATGTGGCATTATTGAGCCAGTTGGTGTTCCACCACGACTTGTAGCTGGCGGTTTCTGCATCTCACTATTGACTATTTCAGGCTCAACCTCTGAAGCTATCTCGCCTATCACTGAAACAACATGAACAAAATGTAAAATATATTTCTATATTTACAAGAGCAAAGTGAAAATAAATGTTGATATCTTTTTTTTTTTTTTTTTTTTTTTAATTTATATTCAAGCCTGAAATTTTGCAGACTTGCTAATAATCGATAGAAGCTATAGATTACTTTATATAACACAATATTAAACTTACTCTAAAAGCTATGCCAGCTATGTTATACCTAAGCTTATGTCATTTAAAATACTGTTAAGCATTATCAATTTATTTTTCAAAGGACTATTAAAAATGATACATAAATGAAAAACATGTATAGTCAAAATTTTAGTTTAAAATGCAATGTTGTATTTTTAACTGCAGAATTTTAATAATGCTATTATACTAAAGTTATTATACAAATTTAATTTTATCATTATAATTTCAGTTTGCTTAAAATACCACCTGTGTTTAAAAAATGTTAAAAAGTTTTCGTTTCCTTTTTTTTAAGCTTTTAAACAGTTAACATAAAAAACAGAAGGAATGTCTTTAACATAAAAATGGAATTTATTTCAAACCACTATCACCCTTTTTCTTTTCTATAAAGGCATTCAAATATAATAAATGCACATTTAAATTTCACTAAAGAAAAATTCAAGTTTCATCTGATGCATCACTTGATCCTGATAATACAGCAGTGCATTATTAACCAAAATAAGCTCTTGAAAACCTGTTTCACAAATGTGGTAACAGACACTGAAATTAATTGTTTGACTGCTACGCGGAGCAAAAGCGCTGCATTCATTTGTCTCGAAAACCGACGCAGTTAGTTATTTTAGAATGCACTCGTTTTGCAAAGTACGCGCAAGGTCAGACTACGTTCAAACCCACGAGGAGCAACAAAGACACACTGAAACTCGCAGCATGTCGCGGTTTTCGAGATAAATGAATGCAGCGCTTGTGCGCCGCGTAGCAGTCAAACGGTTCATGCAATGTATTTCATTTCGAAAAGAAGGTCAGCTTAGTTGTCCATTTTCATCTCTGCTACATAAATACTCTTACAAAAAGCTGTTTCTGATTAGTTTCTCAACTATGTATAGTTTTGACAAATTATACTTTCTTTACATACGTCTCAAAATTAATGCCTGGATCCTGAAGATTCAAAGTCTGTTTCACCTATTTTTCATCATTTCTGATCTCATTATATTATCATTTCTGCTCCCAATAATTTCACGATTCCGAACATTAAACTTCCTTTATTGATGAAATATATATTATATATATATATTTTTTTAACTTGAAGCCAAGCTTCCTGCATTTTTATCTTTCTCTTGTTGTTCCCTGTAGTAATATTCTGAAGTGATATGAGTTTTCAATGTGATATTAATTTTTAATTCACAATCTGGTTGTCCCCTTCCACTTAATAACTATATTTCCACCCCTGTAGCAGTTTCAGATATGCTACATCACTGGTTTCCCCTCTCAAATCTCCATACACTACTTCACAATCCTACAGAAGGTAAGACTTATGAAGAGACTACATGAAAATTGTGAACAAAAAAATTAATTAATAAGTTAGGAGAAAAATATTTATGATAGAAGTGATGTATCATATAATAAAATACACTCTGCTGAAAAAATATATATATATATATATAAGTAACTAGAAAAATTGAGCCACAACTACAAAACTTGGTATGCAAATACAGTTTGATGAGTAGTGTAAATGATTAAACTCACAATATCAATCAACACTGTGAAGTGATACAACATGCATCTGAAGTGCACAGCTTGTAAAAGGGCTGGTGCAGTCAGTGATAAGCATTTGTAACCGTGCTGACAATAAACGCCTTTAAAAGATATATTCAACTGCATTACAAACAGCTGTCAGACTTTTGAAAGGGGTCGCATCACAGGACTTAAAGAAGCCAGTTGGTTGAATAGGTGAACTGGTCAGCATATTGGCCGAAGCAATATGGTGATTACCCGTTGTTGGACCCAGTGGCTTGGTGAAAGCATAGTCAGCCGATGTAGTGGGTTGGGACATGATGACGTCACCAAGCATGAGATGATCTCACAATTAGAAGAGCTGTCATGCTCATACCAACAGATATGCTAACATTGATTCAATGCATTTGCCAACTTGCAGGGACATGATTTCCTGAAGACTAGGTGATTCTGGGCTGAGATCTTGACATCCATTAAAATAACTGCCACTGCCACTCCACCAGAAGTAGTGTCCTCTTGCATGGTGCCGCTCTCACTCAAGCTGGGCAGTGTCCAACTGGGGAAGTGTTATCGTCAGAGGTGAATCATGCTTTTTCCTCAATGCTGATGACTGTCTGAAGACGGAGAAGTGAGCAGTCAAAGTCATTTGTTACCGAGCAGCACACAGCCAGGACACAGAGTGTGACAGTCTGAGGAGTGATCAGCTGGGACAGCCACTCACCATTAATTGTGGTGTGAAGTACTGACTTCTGGCAGGTATGTTGATGACAGTTTGCAGTCGATCATACTGCCTATGCTAGCAGGTTCGTACAGGTTCTGTTTTCCAGTAGGACAATGTTCGGCCACATATAGTATGACTTTACTAACCATGTCAACATGTTAATGTCCTGACTGGCTTGTCAGGTCTTTAGACATACCACCTATTGAACATGTTTGGGACATGTTGGGCAGGCAAACTTTGCTGTATACAAATGTGTCTAAACTCGCTGACAAGTTGCTCCACTCCCACTTGTGGCACAATATATCACAGTGAGACAATGTCAACTTAAGACTCCATGCCCAACTGAATATTGGCTTGTATAGCTGCCAAGAGTGGCTTTACCACCTACTGATTTCCACATTCTTTGTATTGATGCTTGTAAATAAAAATACTTTCCTGTCTAAGTTTTTGGACATTTGTTTATTCATTCAAACACTGTACTACTACCATGTGGTTCAATTCCTTCTGGGTGCATATAATTTTTTGCAAGAGTGAATTTTTCTGTTAATGTGAATGGAAATAAACTGGGACATAAATTGAGGTGTGTAAATATAAAAGGCACATCACTGAGAACATACGAATATTATTTTACTTATTAGTCTATAAATATGTTGTTTTATTACCATTCATTAAGAAATTTAAAAAACAGTATCAACAAGAATGGAAATATTTAAAAAGTTTTAAATGATAATAAAATGTAAATACTAACAAAGAGATATGTAAACATATATAAAAATATATATAAAATTTAAAAAAATTGAACAACAATGATCATAATTATTAAACCATAATGATCATAATTACATGAAAAAATGCCTGATCCAGTTTAGGACAAGGATGTAGATTTAAAAATGCATTTTGTGGAAAGCCAACCCTTATCCTCGCAATCATGATGAGTAAAAGAATAGAAATATCCCAAACAAACAATGGATTCAAATCAATGAGACAAAAATAAATGAAAGAGCAGTGTAAAATGAAACTAATGTGAATATAAGATATTTATCTCAAAATATGTTACCCGTAAGTGAAGAATTAGGTAGATATGAGATGTAAAATTAAATAAAATGTCACAAAAACCACCTGGGTTAACTGTTTATGATGTCATTATTGAAATACTAAACTATAAGGCATAACATATTATAAAATATTTAAAATTCATAACAGTGAACAATTTTTTTAAACTAACATAAAATGTAAAGAATACTGTATTTGTGTATATTGTTTTACATATGCAAAGATAAATACATAAATAAATAATAATCTTTTAAATTTTTAGAGGTTTGGTACAGTTCTTCGTCAAAATTCTTTTATTTGATTTAAAAACTAATGATAGTTTAACCTTTAACTGGCATAACATGGACCCAAGGGATTTTGGAATTGGATTTTAAGTAATTGCTCTTCTTTATTTCTAGTAATTATTATGTACATTCTCTGTTATCTTCATTATTTTTGAGTAAAACATTTAAGCAAATTTCATGTTAAATTATTAATTACTTCAATTTAGTCATGATATACTTAAAAAGTATTTGCAAAAAAATATAATTTTATTCATGTTGGCTGATTGGAATTAGTAAATTCCACCATGCTCTTCAGAGGGCTGCTTTATTGGAATTCATGATTAAGAAAAAGGAAAATATTTTAGCACATTCTTTCTGTGTTAAGAAACTCATATCAGTATAATTTAAACGCATAAAAGTATATATGCGTCTTTTATTTTAGCAAGTATTAGTTTAATAATTGTGTAATAGAAATTTGTGTAATACAAATGCTATAAATAACATAAATATTACCGTTTTGGTAGTTTTAAATTTAAAAAAATTACTTTGCAAAAATTCTGAAATCTGATTTTTTACATTGTCCTCCAGTCCTACAGTTATATTTTGTAAACGTTTATGCTCATTATAATATATTTCTTTATGTACTTATGTATACATAAAGAAAGTTAACAAGAGGTAAAAATAAAAAGCAAATTTTTTAAACCCATCCCGCACTACAGCTGCATGATTGAAGTAAAATAAACTTAAAGCATCTAAATTTAAAAGCAAAGCGATTCCTCAACTGGAGAACGAAACACGTTTTCGAAGCATATTAAATCAACTTTTACAAAACTTTAACTCATTTCCCCATGATGAGTTCTGAATTAAAGTTTCAATAAAGGAAGATTAATTTTTATATTTTTATTATCTTGTATATATTTTACATTTTTGCAATTTTATTTTTCGAGTTTGTATTACCATAGACTCTTGTATATATTTTACATTTTTGCAACCTTCAGCAAACCTTGTCAGTAGTCAACATGCGAACGACATTTTTACAACTTTGAAAATGTGCGCGTAGCGTATGTTGTAATTAACCATTCATTAATTTTAAATTAATAATTAATTGTAATCAATTTTAATACATTTAAAATCCATATACATATAAAACTGAATAATTAAAAATATACCTTGTAAATTATATGCACATTTAATTAGAAATTTTCTTTTAACTCCTCAAGCATTCACTAATAAAAAGTACTTCAAATCCACTACTAATCATAGAAAAATCAGAAGCTATAAATCATATCTTTATTCTGGATATGATTTCTACAGGGAAATAAAATTTAAATAACCAAGAATGATACATATAAGTATTAAACAAAATAGCATAATTATGAATGCAAAGATTTATATGTAGCATGCTTAGCAAGCTTAAGTTCTGATTTTGAGAATGTTTTTTTTATAACACACTTCTTCATTTGCCTGCATATTATTTTTTCAATCAAAACTGCTTCAAGAGTTTTAAAGACCTAAATTTGGTCGAAATTTCCGTCTGATTTTTTTAACAATAGAAAAAATTCTTTCGCAAGTTGCATTTGAATGAGGTATTATTAAGACAGCAAGCATTACAGAAGGCAATACTTTGTATTTAATACACCCATTCATATTTTTTTAATTTGGCAATTTCTCCCCATGCTATATCAATACGCAAATCTACAATTTCTTTCAAATCAATCTATTGATACATGGAAAATTCAATTTACTACTTGATTAAGACATTTTTCATCAATAATGGATGGAAAAAGTATTCATCAAGTAAAGAACAGATGAAAATTGAGACTTCAGTTCTCAAGTTGATGTCAGCAACTTCAGCATGTTTTAGAAATGGATTCACTTCAGTGGAAATTTTATCAATTATATCTATGAAACATGCAGTTACAAAAAAAGCTCGCACAGAACTTGAAAAATGATTTCACTTCCACTTTCATTTCAACTTGGCATTTTTTAAAATATAGTCTTTTTTTCCGCACCAATCACTAAATTTTCATTTTCTTTTTGTTTACTATACTTCTGAAATGGAATAGATGTTAGAGTAAACATTCTTCACTTTCCTTTAGAAATTACTGATGGTTTTACGAATCTAACAAATAAATTCATTAAAAGTTCAACAAGTTCTCTTCTCAATTTATGTATATAAGTTAGCTTGTTGTTGCAAATTAACGAATTTACTGGTTAGAATATCGAAGGCACCAGTAATTTTTCAAAAATCACATAGTACAATTTGGTGGTCGGTGACTGTAAAATTTTTTTAATGTTTGCAATCTCTTTCCTTCATTCTCACTGTTATCTGGTTTATCTCCAAAAAAATGTATCACAGCTTCCCACTGTTCCAAAATCCTTGTTATAGATTCTAAAAGAGACAACCATCTCGTACTGCAATATTTCAAAATTTATGAGATTTTGCATTCTGTCCCAAAATTGTTTGAGCAACTTTGAAGCTATGCTTCCGTTTCGAACTTTTCTCCAAGTAAAAATATATCTATCTATTATCAACATTCAATTTCGAGCCAATTAATTTTTCAGTAGCTTTTTTTGCAGCTATATGCAAGAGGTGGCACGGACAACCTCGGTGATTATACTTGGTTGATGCATTTTGATAAATGATGCTACACCTTTAAACTTTCCAATCATATTACTAGCATTATCTGAAGAAAATGATAAGCAATTTTTCCATTCTAAAACCTTTGTTTTTTAAGTTTTCATTTATACATTAAAAATACCTTCTCCTGTATTATTTTGTGCATTCTAAAATAGAAATCAATGAAGTAATTATCACTCCCTTTCTTTACTGTAGTATGTTATAACCAATGGGTACAGTTTGTTATCATTGTTATCATTACTTCCATCAGTACTTAGAAAAATGATGTACTGCACACTGATTTATAATATCAGCAACAGTATTTTCTGCAAGCGTTTCACAATAGCAGCAGTTTTGGTATGACCGCAGCTAAATTTTTTTGCTATGGCAGAATCCGGAAACATTGCTTTGAAAAGCTCTTTGGAATGATCCGAACAGAAAGCGGTAGATTATGTTCAATTAAAAAACGAACAAAATAGCATTCGGCTTTTATAGGATCTGTTTCATCATCTTTTATTAAGAAATTTGTTATTTCTTTAGATTTTTTACGGTGCCAGTTCTATATGCTTTTGAGAAAACACATGCCGTTTACAGTCATCTTTCCGCCATGAGCAACTGAGAAGTCCTTTGTTGCATACACTGCAGTGTGCGCGCGATTCACAGAAATTTCGGACGCTTTAATGCATGGAAATTCTGAAGAATATGAATCTTTAAACTTCTGCTTTGATAATTTTGGCTTTCTTCGTTCGAGGCAGCATTATGATTAAAAATCTTTCACCTGATTCACAGTTTCACAGACACAACGCTAAGCTCTCGCCGTAAACTACACAATGCAGCCGAATGCAGCCTAAACACGCATCAGCGAGGAACCTGGGAGACAGACAATTGGGTGGAACTATTGATAAGTCGTTAACGGTTGGAGTTACTGATCTACGATTGGCTAATTCTTCAAAACTAGGAACGCATTCAACACGTGGTATATGATAACACGAGTATTCAGCCAATCATCAGATGAATTAGTTGGTTCCGTTTTGCGTACTGGTTCTCCTGCTTTTGTTTCTGTAAAATCCGTAGTTTTTTCCATACTTTTCGTAGCTCGTAGTTTTTCATGAATTTCCGTAGTAGTTGGAGTCTATGTATTACTATAATCATTTTTATTTTCAAATGTTTTGATTTTATGTTCAACTTCAACCCCTTTACAAGGATGCAATTAAAATTACTGTTGAGGAATCTCCTTGCTTTGACTACAGTTTACTTTTAACTTTAGATGCTTTAGGTATATATATATATAAAATCAAACACCAAAATGTTTGTCTACTGTATGTCAAAAACTGACCGAGATCCGATTTTGTCATCCTTTTTAGTTTTTTTCTTGAAGGGCTGCTACCCTACCCCTTTGATGTCATAAAGTAATATCCCTTTAAGCTTATTAATGTGTAACATTTATAATTAATAGAATCTTATTAAAATTAACAGTTGCAACATTTTAAGTGCTTAGAACAACTCAACCTTTTACTATAGATAAAATAATACTTTCCCTGGAAGTTGGCTTTTTTGCCTATCAGAGTGCCTTACAGGGAAGTTGTGTTTCCAGTTGTATATGTTACCGGCAAAGTTTCAAATCCGGCATTCGATAGAATGCCTAGGCATTGTATATAATAAATTAAACTAGCCAGCAATGTATAAAACGATTGATATTTCACACATTTCCTAGGCATTCTACAGAATGCTAAATGACAAACCAGCAAAGTATGAAATAAAAACATATCACATCATTTTGAGGATCTTAGTCTTATGGTTGCAGAAGTAAAAGCCGCATAAAGACTTTTCTGAACATAGTGTATATAAATGTAAAACATAACTACACATGTCATTTCAAGACATAAATGCAGTACAAAGTCCATAATCTGGACTCGTCGGAACTTCGGCGATTTTGGATTAGGAGTTTTTCTGGATTATAGATCATGAATTTAAATCTGGTAAGGTGGCATGCAGAAATTATACAATTAAAAATATGAAACCGTAATTTATGAAATAAAGAGCAATTATGATCTAAAGGGTATCAAAATTTACAAAAAAAGGTTTAATATTTATTTGTTTACTTTATTAAACATTTCTTTCAATGCAAGTTGTTTAAGTTGCTTCATTTTTTGTGCTAATACTTTCTCTTTAATTCTATAAAAAGACATAATTTCTTGTTCAGTTCAGTATTGAACAGTTAAGTTCCACTGTTCAAGTCCTGTAATTGCTGTGTCGAGAATACCAACTAACTTGTCAATCGAAATTTTTTTATTCTCAATAACCTCTCTGTCACTTTCTTCACTATGAGAAGTGATATTTTCTGGATTTAGAACCATACTACAGATTTCGTCGTCCGTTAATTGACGTCAGAATGAAAAACTTCTGTTATATCATCTTCATTTATTACTGCTTCTCCAGATTTCTTTACAAAATCCAATAACTGGAAAATTTCACCTTTAGTTTGCAATGTACGAAAACCTTCAAATCCGCGGCCATCATCTTCATCGTCCTCACCATGAAATATGGTAGCTGGCCATAAATTATGTCAAGCATTTTTTAACGTATCTGGAGACACATTCTCCCAATATGCATGCATAAAGTATACAAAAAAAAGTTTGTGGCTTTGAGGTCCGGATTATAGATCATTCCGGATAATAGACGCCCGGATTATGGACTTATTTACTGTATGCATAAATTTTTAAATATATATAATTAAACTACATAATTTTAATTGTTAGAAAATACAGAACCACATCTTTCCTTTTTTTGCACAATGTACATTAAAAACTGCATTTGAACAATAATAATTATGTCTTCGAAATAATTATCTTTGAAATAAAAGTAAATTAAAAGTACCAGAATACTTGGATTCAGTGTTTTGTACAGCCTCTGCTGAAGATGGAGCCTTAATACTACTAATACTACTTGGACTTGGAAATCCGCCCACAACTGGGCCAGTAGGTGTTGAGGCACTGGATGCACTAGGGCTAAAGATGCTGAATACATCTGTATCAGCTTTGCTAGAATAGAAATATCACAGAAAATTTAAAACAAAAATTGAAATTTATGTTAATAACATATTGAAATAAAGGAGCTTTTTCCTGTGATATAATTAACTAATTCTGTACCATTCCTTCCATATTTTCAATTCTAATATTTACAAAAGTATCTATATGGCAATAACTTTTTACACAATCTAAATTTTTCAATGTCCTATTTTCAAGAAAAATTAAAACACTGAAAGTACGAAAATGATTGACTTGAAATATTAGTTGGAAAGTATATAAATTCTAATAACATTCTAGGAACTTGGATGAGCATAATAATAAAAGAACAGCTCATATTATATCATAATATGAGTATAATCAAGTAACAAAAGCAAAACAACAACAACAATAATAATAATAATAATAATAAAAGAACAAAAATGAATTTAAAAAATTCTGAAAGGGTTCAGATTTTAACAATCACTCATAAGAGCTCTTTTATATTTTAATATGGTTTATTAGCAGAGATTATCAATAGAAGTAGCCCAGGTGAAAAAGCAAAACATGTTATAGGTTCTGATTATTTAAAAAATGAAATAAATATATTGTGCCACTCAATAAAAATATTTAATATTTTAATTAGATATATCATGAATTAAATGCATTTTATGTTAAATCAAGCATATTAAAAAATAATAATATTAAGAATTGTATATATTGATTTGTTTATTAGTAGCCAACACATTATATGAAAGAATAATATCTTAGTTTTTTTCAAATGGCAACAAACTCGAATGAAAAAAACAACATATATTTACAGTGGACCACACAAAATTGCTTTTCAAGATGAATAGCCCATTTGGGCTAAAACATTTAGCTTATTTAACTAATTTCTAAATCACATACACATGCTTAAATCACATTAAAGTAAAAGCCATCTTTTCAAACAGAGCTATACAAACCCAACAAATAAATTTAATGAATACAGATATTCTTATGAACTCTTTGGATAACTAGCTCTGGCTGTAGAAATACAAAACAAATCATAAATCTGGTGATGGCTTATTAATGCAAGATATAAATATTGATTAATTCAAACATTTTCACATTTGCTAAATTTAATTTGTTTGATATTTTTATTAAGTTCCTTTACATTAACAATTCCCAAACGTTTTAACTCACAAAGGCCTAAAAAGGTATAGATAGTAACAGAATGAAAAAAAAAGGGGGGGATACCATATACAATTGTAAAATGTCTAAGAAATAAACCTATGTTTAAAAAAATTTCAGTTTACAATAACATCTCAATTTATTCTCAGCGTGATCTTGTCAAAAGTTAGCCATACATAAAGGTTTTTCTAAAGCTCAATGAATCGAATCAAATCAAACTGTGCTACAACAGATATTTTACATTATTGGTGAAAGCACCATTAAGATCGTTACAATAAATTCAATTTCTGCAAGTTAATCATTGGACACAATTCAGTTCAAATAAATATTTGTTTCTGACTTTTATTTGATACATTTATAACTCATTATAGTAAAATACTATTTTTATTTTTATGCTACTTTAATACAATAAAGGCACAAATTAAGACTCACACAAAAAAAAAAAAAAAAAAAAAAAAAAAAAACAGAATTATTTTACGAGAACCTGAGGCTGTACTCCCATGCACAGTTTTCTAATTTTAGATTCAGCAGCTGATAATCACAGGCAAATGCCTTGTTCTGCATTGATATGGATTTTCTGCATACATCTTTGAAACTTACATATGCAAAGAATTTTGCTTTAACAGTACTGTATGTAGTTGAGAAAGCGGTAGCATTAATTTTGAATTCATCTTATATACAAACAAAACTCCAGCACATTTTTGTTTTGAAGTAGGAATTTTAGCTCACAGTGAGGCATCAAATTTATGGCGATATTGAATTCTATAGAATTTAAACTGGATAATTTTTGTTTGAATTTTGCACATTCAACATCACTCAAGTTCATTCAAGCGCCTGCTCCTGAGAAGTCATAAATAAAGTTCAGACAAGTCTATCAAAGTTTTAAAATGTATCTGAATACTTTTCTGCATTTTTTCTTGAATCTTACTTTGTTCCAAGGTTTCTGTAAGAAGGATGCAGTCATTATCTTCCTTTTCCAAACATTTTAATGAATATACATGTTTCTCTTAAAAGAAGACACTTTGGTCATTTGAATCAAAAACCATAGCGTTTTTCCCTAACAACTGCAGATTTATTTTGTTAATTTAAAATTCATTTTTTCCCCAGCAATTGTTGATTCATTGTTTGTTATTCATTGCTACAAATTTTAATCCACACACATTTTACACACTTTCTTCTTCATTTTAAACCTTCATCAATATAGTACTGTGGTCTATTAAAAATGCTACTACATGTGTCGCAAGTTCTAAGAGTTCCACTTTGACAATTGCCAACAGTGCAGTTGCATTTATTTATTTCAAGTCAGAGCAATAGGTGAGACTGGAAAAATATCCCACATCATCTCTTAACCTTTTTGTGCTGGCGCAGCTTTGTTTAAGATGCTCGTGCTGGACGGAAGGGAATCGAAGGCAGTCACTGTACAGGCCGGGAAGGGGGGGAGAGAAGGTTTGCATCGCTAAGCCTAATTTTATAAAAAAAAATCATAATATGAAAAGTTTCACTTCTAGCATTGTAATTTTTTGTATCATTTTAGAGTATTACTTGAGCTCTTATATATGCTAAAATTAGCACCTAACAACCTTTTTTTCTTTATTTTACATGAAAATATACTTAAAAAATTGTTTATCTTGTAAAATAATTTTCGGAAAATCTATTCAAATTATTCCAGGTTTTAATTGATTCCAAGTTTTAATTGATAAAAATCCATCAATAAGGTTTAAAAGTAATAAAACAACACAATAAAGACTATTTACAGTAAAAAGTAAGAAAATTTAAAATGAAGACTGTGATAAATCTCAGAAGCAGAGAGAAGTATCGCTTTCTAACTCTTTAGAAAATGAGTCATCACTCTCATCTGTGTTAGTAAATAGTTCACTCCACATAGTAACCCTAAAAGACCATACATAGTAGAGGAAAAAAATATAATTAAAAAAGGAATTGGATATAAATCAGACACGCGAATGTTTATATTAGCACACTAGCACACGGGGATTTAAAGAGCCCACCTCTGCCTACTACCCCCCCCACAACAGCTGATGAGTAAAATACCAAAGTAAGGCAGAATATATCAAACTCAAGGTCAGGAACCTAAATTCAAAAGTAATGGACATAGGATGCAATCTAGTGGTCTTCAGAGAAATGTTCCAGCTTAAAATGTATATATGCATCACCCGTCCTATGAATGCAAGCTTTAGTGATGCGTGGATGGTATGCCCGGTTGTAAGAGACGTATTTAGGGAATGCGTATATGGGATGCCCGTCCTGAAAGGGTTAAAATGGGTTTTCCCTTTTGCATGTTGAAGAAGTACCAATGCACAAAATTAGAAATATCAACCTTGAAACTATAAATCTTTTTTCAAATTTGTAACTGTGTAAGTGTAATAAAAGTTTTAAGTTCCATTTCAATAAGATTCCATTAAATTTAGAATTGAAGATAATTAGAACTGAAAATTTAGATAGCATATTAACATTAGCGGTGAACCTACCAGGACCTTTGGATTAGAGCTATTTGTGAACTGAATTACTTCCAAGAAGATTTGCCCATAAAAGTATAATTACCCTTTGAAGCATTTTTTAATAAGCAGAACATGAAAAATACCTCACCAAATTCTCGCAACTAAGTTATATAGTACAACTGAAGAACAGTTAAGCAATGGAAATGTTGAGACAGATGATTTGGTAGACCTTCTTAAAAAATTAATACTCAAGTGTTAATTTAAAAGAATTTCATAGGAAATTTATTTCTTTTAAAAGAGAACAAAATTGAAAGTGATATGCTCTAATGTTCAGACTATGAAGAGAAAACAATTTCATTAAAAACAAAACTAAATCATAACATTCAAAACATTAAAATAGATTATTCTGGCAAAACTGATAATGATAATTCTAGAAATAACATTTTATATTTAGACAAAGTTTTCTAGAAATAAAAACGGAATATCAAATCTTATGCATTTTTTCTTGCATTTTATTTAAAGTTATTGGATTGAATTAAATCTACTTAGTCAACAACACATAAACCACAATAAAATAAATGCACTCTTTAAAATTCACTATATTTGTTTACCATAGTGACACTCTGGTGCTAGGTTCACTTAACAGCATTAGATTTCATTCATTTTATAATTCAGAATGCAAAAAATTTATATCATCTGAAGAATTATCTCTAATAGTTGGCACATGTTCTATTCGAATACTGTAATAAATCTAAAATGATATATAAAAGAAATTAAATAAACAAAAACAAAAAGAGAGAGAAAAGAAGCAGTTTTTCACAAACGATTCAGTATTTCTCATTCAATTAATCGAGTTCTCCCTTTGCGACAAGGCAAAATTACATAAAAACTCAAAATATCTATATTAAAAATTATGAAGTAAATCTTAAAACACTTATTTCCTAGAATAAATTCCAGCATGGATTAAGCACGATTTAATTCACAATAATAAATGAAGGTGTAATCTTTGCTGCTACGAAGGTTAGTTTCTCTAAATCGGCAACAAATCCACTATTCTGCTAAGTTTCAAATGTAAATGAACATGGCTGCCATAGTAAAAATACTTAGACTTTGAAGCACTTAAACAACTTTTAAATTGTCGATAATTCTATAAATATTGCATGCAGATTACTAAAGTCATGAAAACCTTAACCAGAAGATAAGAACAACATAATTCAATCATTTTTAAAGCAAAAAATGCACAATTTATAAACGCATAGGAATAAAGAAACTGAGCTCACTCAGCCAAATAACAGAGCGGATATATATATAGATTTGGCCGACTACAACCAAAATAAGAGGTTCACATCTACATGTTAGAGCAGTTCTACATACAAAATTTCAAGGTTCTGACCAAGGTTCAAGGTTTCAAGTACCCACAGATACCATGAAAAATTCTCTTCAGAATTCATTTTAAATCAGTTTAATTATTTTTTGGAGTCCTTTATTCTGTCGTTATGTGCAGATGTAAAGCAAAAACAATGTTAAATTGTATTCAATAGCTGTCAAAATGGATATTTTTGTTGAAATACAATACCCAAAATCTTTTGTGATTACTTGTACGAAGTACGAATTTTCCTTGTAAAAAATTCCTTGTATAAAGTAAAAGCAATTAAAAAAAAAAACTGTTAAATTAGCAAAGCTCTACGTACCCAAATTTTATGGCGAAAGATACATATTATACTTTTGGAACCAGTTTGAAAATAATCCAGTTTTGTCAGATGTTGATAAATTTTCATATTTGAAAAGCTTAGTCACAGGAATAGCTGCTAATGCCGTTGGAGATTTCGCTCTGTCGGTCAAAAATTATACCACAGTAAATAAACTATTAGTGTCTAAATTTGTAAGACAGGATGTGCTTATCCAAGCACATTTAAATTATCTGTCACATTTTTGTAAAACTTGGATGATATATATGGGTTACAAAATTTGTATGACAAATGAAACAAGTCTGCAGTCATTTGATGTGGCTTCCACCAGCTATGAAGCTTACTCTGTCCCATAATATTAAAAAAGAAGTTCTCAACCAGAGGCAAATTCTATAGTTTCAAGGGGCAGGAAGCAGTCAGCCATTTTGTTTTAGTTTATGAATCTAAAAAATTACTTTTATTTAAGTGTTGGTATTTATCAACATTTTCCATACCTTTTTATTGTTTTATTTATAAAACCCATTAAAAATCAACTAAATATAGATAAATGTACATATTTATTTTTCAAATTATGGAAAGGAGGGCGAATGAACTTCTAGCAATAATGAAAGTGGTGCATGGGGCAAAAAATTTTAAGACCCCCCCGTCAATGTCAATTAAAATTATTACCTACCGATTTAACTGTATGCTTTTCTCATAGACAAGAATCGAAAATGGGAAATTCAGTCTTTACTTAATTTTCTCCAAAGTGAACTCGAAAATCATGGACAAATTTTTTAGATTCACAAAACTGATTTCAGACGTTCAGTCACACAATATTGCTAAATTTGAAAACAAACATGCCAACGCAGCAAAAATTCCCACCAAACCTTTAGTCCCTTCAAAGAAAAATAAATCTAAGATTCCTATGTTGGTTGAACTTTTGGCAAATCACGATGATAACTCTTGTATTTTTTGTGGCAGCTTAGATCACAAAAACGAAAAATGTATTTCTGTATGTGTAAATGAAAAGAAAGAATAGTTAAGAAAGCACAAACACAGTTTTTTTATGTTTAGCAAGATATCATAGAATCATTGACTGGCTTAATAAAAAAAAATCTTGTTTAGCATGTAACACAATGTACAATACTGCATTATGTTTTAAAGGACAAAACTCAAAATTAAAAGAAAATAATCCGAAATCGGAAAAAAATTAAAATACTATTTATAATCCTTCCATCAATGAGAAAACAAAATTTAACTTTAAACTGCAGTTATGGAATTAATTGGCATAAAATCAAATGGAATTATTTGTTGTATTTTTGATGAAGAAGCACAAAGATTGTACACCAAATGAGATATTTTGAAATACCTTTCTTTGCCCCGCCTGCGGAAAGAAGATTTGTTTATTCATACACTCCAATCTTTGGCATTAATGTGTAATTTATATATTCCAATCTTCAGCGACAACGTATAATTTATATACTGAAGTAAGAATAAAAACAAAATTAATGGACAGGAAATCAAAATCGAAACACTCGAAATAGATGACATAACCCAAGCAATACTAGATTCTTCAGACCTTATCATATATAATGAATTAAAAATAAGAGGTTTTAATGTTGACAGAATTGCATGACACTTTGGGAAGCAGTAGAAATATTTTTATGTTAATCAGAGTAAATTATTATTAATATAGTTAATATCTAAATAATCTAGCTATTAATATCTAGATAATTAATATATAAAATCTGAAAAAAAAAAAAAAACTAAATACATCAAGATTATTTTTATTCAATAAAATAGCTAAAAATAAATTATATTACAAAATCTAGGTACTCTCTGATTATATGCCCAACCCTGACAAGAATCACAGGGCAAAGCACTATATCACCAAAGCAGACAACACAAACAACAGCATTTAAAAAAAATGTATTTATCTTCCAACTACTAATGGTTGTGTACACACATGATGTGTGCCATTCTGAAATTTGAGAAAAATGTTTGTGGTTTCGGCTTGTTATAAATGTGTGTGATTTTTTTAATTGTAATAAATCATAATACCACTATAGAGTGTGCCTGCTAATGAAAAAGATAACACTGCATTTTTTAAGAAATTAGCATATTATCTAGCAGTAGAAAGTAAAGAATGTGCATCCCATGGAGTTAATCTGTGCAATTCACTGATTTTTTTTAAGTAAAAATGGTCAATGTATGCATGGACAGCAGTCCCAATTTGTTCTATAATTGCAAGTTGCTCTGTAATGTCTACAATTCTATGATTTTGTTTAAAACAGATCACTGTGCACATGGATCGAAGATTGGAAAAATTTCAAATTAAATGTTTTATTATGAATGTCTGCTGCTTTTTAAATTTAGTTAATTCTTTGCTGTTTTATGAAACTTTGAGTACATATGCAATGATTTTTTTAAATGGCTACTGTTTTTTGTGTTAGGTTAGCTAAAAAATAGTCAACATCAACTGAGAACTTCGTGGGAGAATTTGGTGAATAACCAGAAAGTACCAGAATCTATTCCACTTTTCATTTTGTCATTTTTTTTGTCCTAATTATTCTTAAAAGATCTTTGTTTCCATTCCAGATGATAATTCTAAAAGTGGGATACACTAAATAAATCATTATTTATTGCCAATGCCTAATATACAATAACAAGAAAATATTTTAAAACTGGTAAGCATCGTACTTTAGTGGATTAGACATGGAAATGGATCGCTTTAATGGACCTTCATCAGGAGTTGATGCTGCACTACTGGCAGGCCTATTTACCTAAACAGGAGAAAACAGTATAACCAATGAGAATATTTATAATTACGGAACTTCAATTCAAAATGAATTTTAATTAGATTTGTTTTATTAATATGATTTTTCTTTAGCACATTAAAGATTTATGCTACATTTGATATGAAACTTCAAAATCAAGTAATGCCTAATAAAAAGCAACTTATGACATTTCAAGTGCAAGATAATGAATTAAAATGTCACCCATCCCACAAATCTGAGAATCATTATTTTTTATTAATCTTTCCTTGTAGAAAACCTGTGCTGGAACTTAGCATAAAAAGGGGGAAAAAAAATACTATGTAACACAACTTAAAGAGGTATGTGACATTCCTTGTACCTTTGCAAATTAAAAAATGACTTTTTGCACTCTCCTGGGTACAATTAATATGCAGAATTTATAATATTTATTTGATAACAGAAAACTTACCACTCACAAATGGAAATTTTCTTTTGTGCATAAAAATGAAAAATTCAATTTTTTTTTTAAAATTTTTTATTTATACTATTTTAAGTTAAAAAAACATGTAAAAGCAATGCTAAAACATTCAAAATTTAAATTATTTTTTCAAATGTTAAACAATAAAGATTTAATTTTACAAATTGGCAACAACAAGTATCTAAATGAAATCCATAATTTTCAGAAGTTTTTCTTTCAGGATGTGGATACTTTCAGGCATTTGAATAACTGTACCCTTATCGAAATACATAAAATCAAAAAACTTATTTCAGGGCAGTATCTTCTTCATTACATCAAATACACATTTAAGGGGAGGGGAACTATTGACTTTCCATTTTCATTCTGACTGGAATAAACATATGAAGACATATCCGTTTTCAAACTGAATATTACATTTCACAACAAGGCATAATTGTGTTTCTTATAGCATTTTAACTAATTAAGAATATGAAGTAATTTTTCAGTCAAAGTAACTGAAAAATCTATGAGTGATATATTTAATTACAATTCAAGACATTACCAATTCTGAATATGTTAGATGAAAACAGTAAATACCTGAAGTAAATAGATATATAAAAAGACATATAATATTACCATGATAAAATGTTAACCATGTTATTATTTAAAATGCATTTATACACGATACAATACTTACAGTACGTTGAGGATCTGGTGATAATGAAAAAGTTCCAACTGTGGCTATAAGCTCATCAATACTTGCACTCATGCCTGTGCTATTACTTACAGGTTTAATCTCAATGTGAATTTTTCGTTCTTTCTCTTCCTCATCTTAGAAAAAAAATTCAGATATAAAACTATGAAATGCAACAACTATATAATTATAAATGTCTTAAGTACAGAAAATAATAAAAAATTCCCCAAATAAACAGATTCCAAAAAGTAATGGACATAAAATAAATACATATATCATTCCAGTATTTTGATAATTAACACACACACACACACACACACATATAATATTCTTTATATATAAGAGTTTAATATTCTTTCATAAAGATAAGGAATTTTAAAACAATATTTTGGTACCATTAGAAAATTATGTCAATAGTAATAAAGATATGGATTAAGAAAAATTTTCATGTAAATATCACTTTTTACTAAAATACCCCATTTTAAATGCTACATATGAAAAATTTAACTGAGAGAGCTGCATATGAAAAATTTAACTGAGAGAGCTGCATATGAAAAATTTCTCTGTGGGAATTTTACATTTATTTCTTTCATACACTTGTACTCACTAAATTACCTGTATATTATCATAAAGCTTTAATAATTTTAAAAACAAAGGGGGGGGGAATTACTGAATTTTTTTTTTTTTCAGTTTTTATCAATCATCTAAATATATCTGCATTTTAAATAAACTAAGTGGATAAAGGAAATTACATGTTGAAATACAAATTACATGCTATTGAATATACTTTGGTACTTTTCTGTTAAAACCATACTCCTTGATGCCCTTTTTATTTATTTTGGCATTATTTCTAGGTGCCAGTGTCCGTCTTCTTTCCTGGAGATAACTGTCTTCATGACCATCGCTTGGTTTTATATCCTTTACACAACTCAGTTTTTCACCTAATCATAATTGTTGGTGGGTTCTTTTTTTAAACTGCGATGGATTTCACAATGGAAGATTTTCCAAGATATAAATTGGTGATTATTTCATTAATTTTTTTAAAGGTTTCTCCACAAAGAAAGATTCTGTTCAATAACCTCTCCCCTGCACACACAAAAAGTGATTTAAAGAAAAAGGTGTCTGTACCTAACAATTTTTCTGTTACTGCCATATAATTAATTTACTGATGGTATCAAGAGATAATGTCAATCGAGTTTTGCAAACTACACTTTCAAGCAAATCACAACACAATGGTTGATCTGAATAATTACATACAAGAGATATGTGACATTTTTTTTAGTCAAAAAAAAGGAGGGTTAACATAGGTCATAGTCTTCTTTCACAAGGGATTTCTAGTGAATTGTGTCATGAAACTAGAGAATGTTTCTTTGTTGCTGTTACTGTTTTGTATAAATTTTAAAGGCCGAAACAGAGAAGAACATTGTAGATGGAAATTCTATAATCTGATAACCGGAGCAGAAATTTATTTTTCAATTACCAAACACCTGGATATGAACATTTAATTGGATTTCATTCATTAAGGAATCTATCAGTAACAAAGATTTAGTAGAATATCTGATGTGGACCACAACTTCCTTGTAAGGCCCATTAAATTATACAAATTTATTGTTGCATTTAAACTTATTTTCTCGAATTCTATTACAGATATATTTCTCATTCAATTAATTCAGTCCTCACTTTGTGGCAAGGCAAAAATATATAAGAACTCAAAACATCTTAAACATTAAAAACTGTAAAATACAGAAAAACTTAAAACACCAAATACAGTTAAAAACACCCCCCCCCCATTCAAATTAGTTTCTACGCAAAAATAAGCAATTCAGCCAGAGGGCAGGGAGCATGATTTTTCGGTGCCAAAAAAAGACACTGAAGTTGCTGCACAAACTGACATAATTCACTATTCTACTAAAAGTTTCCAATGTAAACAAATGGTGGCCTCATTAGGATTAGCACCACTTAAACTTTTAAACTGTTGACAATTCTATAATTATTGCAGCATGCAGATTAACCAAAGGCATAAAAATTTTAACAGAAATATAAGTGAAATATAATTCAGTCACCTTTAAAGCACAAAAATGTACAATTTACGAATATATAAAAATAAAAAAATCGAGCTCATTGAGCTGGATAACAGAGTGGGCATATATACATACTTGGTGTAGCTAATTGCAATGAAAAAGGGCGGTGCACAACTAGACATTATAGCAGTCTCATATACAAAATTTGAACGTTCTATGGGTAATCGTTTCCGAATTATGCAAGATACATACATATGTACAGATATCACGAAAAAATCTTTTCTGAATAAATTTTACAATCTGTTTGGGGAAAAAGAATCCTTTATTCTGTTTGTACGTACAGATTTCACAGAAATACATCATTTAAATGGTTTCGAGAGTGGTCAAAATTGATATTTTTGTTGAAATATGATACCTAAAATTCTTTGCACATTTCCTTTATTTCATTCAAGGATGTGAAAAGGGAAGAAAACCTAAAAAAATAAAACAATAAGACATTTTTGGGGGGATCGGGAGAGGGAGATCTTGTATCAAGCCAAAGGTGTGAGTGAGGAAAGAAATAACCCAAAATGTGCAAAATGCCATCAAAATGTATAGTACGGCTTAAACGGAAAAGTAGCTACAATATTATGGGAATAAGAAAATTTAATGACAGGAACCTGAAATGAAGGTCATTGTGTGTTTACTAAAAATAATATATGCAAAACACACACTTAGTATAAATGGGAAGTTATAATATATATAGTACATAAAAAAAGAAGCAAGGAAATACGAGTAATTATTATTTCATAAATTATTTCATTATTATTCATCATCATCACTTATATTTCAATTTATAAACTTACCAGATTCATTATCTGAACTTGAATAAAAGTTGTCTTTCATGTCTTGTTTTTATTAAGAAATGTTATGTCATAAAATTTAATACATGTGAAGAGCTAATACAGCACACAAAATCGTGAAATGTTGCTCAGAGGAGAAAAACATGTATGCATCCTTTAAAAAGTTAAAACAATTTATAAGAAATGCATTATTTAAATTTCAAGGATAAATCTGAAATATGAATTACAGAAATGAAAAGATCACATTATAAATCCTACTCTTACACACTAATTTTTATGCTAACAAAAATGGAAGATATGCTAGAGAAAAATGCACTAAAGGATATTAATAAATCAAAATTTTTAATTTCAGCACTTTCTGTTAACTGTTAGTGGTGTTATTAATTGAAATGCATGAGTGCAGAACATACCAGTGAAATTAGCATAGGAATTACATTTAAAGGAACTCTTACTGCAGGTATTTTTTATAAACTGCAGCCTTGAAATACAAAAAACCAGAAGGATTTTGAGGTGCAACTTCAGCTGAACTTAAATATTTCACTTTATAATGGATAACTTAGATTAATAAACTTGTTATTATATGATTTTTAATTTCAGTTCATTATTATAATTTTACACCAATTTTGTAGCATTAAAATTTTATGCCAAATTAATGTGCATATGGATAAACTTAACTACAGACTACTTACTGATTTAAAGCAAAATTAAATGTAAATATTATGTAAATTAAATGTAAATATCTTTATTATACAGTACTTAAGTTTTAATAAAATGCTTCAGAGGATTTTATAATCGAATAAAATAGATCCAATGGAATAAACATAAATCACAAAAATCATGGTAAAAATAGCTTTCTTTAAAAAGCAGTCATCAAAATTTTTATTCGTGACATTTCCTTCAACTTTTGGTAATAATAATTCTTCCAGAACTGCATTTGAAAGAGATGATCTAAGTTCTGATAAATTAAAATCCAAGACATTTGAAATTGACAGGGAAATAGAAAAAAAGAAAAAAAAAGGAGTCTTCCAAACTTCAATGGGATGAGTGGTAGCTCTATTATCTATTTATCCTTACACTCTTTTCATTTCAGAATATAAAGAATACTTTTAAAGTATTCTGATTGGTGATTTAGCCTTCCCCCCCCCTTTTAAAGCAACAGAATTATTTACTTTAAGTAAGTTAAGAGATTTTTCACAAAATAATTTTCTTATTTAATCTTTTATTTCACACAAAATCATTCTCTTACTTTTTTAAAAGCTGAGCATAAATGTGCGATTAGATGAAAATCTGCAAATGCAATTAAATGAAAGATTTTTCTTACACTCTTATTATGTTTGTATTAAATAGAAATATCATAACTGTAATGTTAAACTTTGGTACTGTAGTGTTAACTTTGGTAAACTGTAATGGCTTTAGGTCCAATGACCTTAAATCAGGGATGGGCAAACTATGGCCCACGGGCCAACTAACAATCATCTCAAGCAGTTGTTTCTAAATATGCCAAAGTTTGAGTTTTACAAATCATTATCGAAAGTAAGTTTCCCATATTTAATATCTCACACCCAGAAAATCAGTGCTTTGTTTGCTTCATCTTATATATGTGAACAAGTGTTTTCAAATATAAACCTTAGAAAGAATTATTTCAGAAGTAGACTGACAAATGAGCATTTAGCCTCGTTCCATAGAATCATTTCGAACCTCAATATAACGAATTTTTAAAAATAAAATCGCAATTTCATTCAACTCATTAACATATATAACTTGTAATACTTGTATATTGTTTTTAAATTTTTAGAAAAACTTATCTTGAACCGCCAAACTTTTTTCTTTTGGTTTTTGGCCCACGACCGAAAAAGTTTGCCCATCCCTGCCCTAAATCAACATTGTTCAGCATATGAAAGGATACACTCTGCATTTCTCTCCTGTGGCCTTATTGTAAAACCTTCTGAATCTATTTGTGGACTGGTCTGAAAAGATACACATATATTTAAAATAGTTGACACAAAAGTAAACCAAAAAATAAAGCACATTTCTCTTGATACTAATTTGAAGAACATAAATTTACCTGAATATTATCTTGGGAATCTCTGAAATAAGAAAAGAAAATTTTAAACCATAAAACAAATTTTAGTATAAGATATTAAAATAAATAAATAGCACACTAACATACATCATAAAACTACTGATATTATTTTGCAATTTGTCATTTTATGTAGGGTTATTGGAAAAAAAGTATGGTTTTTCAAATTAAAGAATGTTTTTTTCTTTTAATTATTTCGTTGCTGCTGCTAAGGAGTGACCTTGATGGAAGCAAATGTTTAATCATTTTCTTTTCTGCTCACGTTGGATAATTCTAGCATGTGTTGAGGCCTAATTTTTGTTTCAGTGCAGTGCTAAGAATGGAAAACTCGAAGTTCATTCTCACAATATTATGCTCCTTTACTTTAAAAAAGGAAAAGTGATACTCAGACTGCTCATAATATTCGTGCTGTTTATGAACAAAGTACAATTTTTAATGACAAAGTTCGAAGGTGATTTGAGAAAAGCATGGAAATTTTAAGCCTTGAAGATGATGCCTGATCTTGATAACCATCTTCTAAAATCAAAGACATATTAAAAGAGCTCTCTCTGAAAACTCATTTTATACAGTTGAGGAACTGTGATACTGACTAAATTTCCAAAAAGTATAGTACATAATCATTTGAAGAAGACTAGGTAGGTAAGCCACTTTGATGTTGATACCCCATACTTTAAACAGATCAGAATATGCTTGTTCAAATTTTGGCATGATTCTTTTCTGAAGAGATATAAAGGAGCTACGTTATTGAAACAAATCATAACTCGAGATGAGAACTTGATGTTATATAATTGTGTTACAAGATCAAGATGCAAGTAAAAAGAACCTACTTTAGTACCATCGAGAGGGAGAGGCATCGAAAAACCGCATTACTTTCTACATGGTATGGCTACAAAAGAATTACATAAGGTATGTTTCTAAAATTCTAGAAATTTACGTATAATTTTAATTCAATAATATTCATGCATGTTTTCTCAAACTGAACACTCCATAAAGGAGTTTTCAAATATGGAAAAAGAATATTTTTCATAGGTGTAAAACAATTTATGAAGTTTTCACAACCCCTCAAAAAAAAGGGGGAGGGGGAGAAAATGCTCTTTCCATGGTTGCAAAAATAATGATACAAAAATGTGCCTTTGTCAGTCAAACAACTGAACTGGGCTAAACAATACTGCATGTAAAGATTTGCCTCTTGCCAGCAGCATTGCCATCTTCTGGAACTCAGTTCTCAGAACTTTGGAAATATCTTACATGCACTATAGTTTGCTGCCACCAAATAAGACAAAAATTCAGAAAAATACTATTTATTTCCAAAGAGCAGTTTAAAAAGTAAAAATCAAAGCAGAGCACCAGAATTGAACAATAGTTGATCTTCCATCATAACAATACTCAACCCCACATTTTGATGAATATCAGACAAAGACTTGTTGAGTAGGCTCGGATGTTTCATGTCATTCCCCATATTCTCCAGACCTTACTCCTTTGGATTTTCAGGTTAATTCCAAATCCTCTGAATGACCTAAAGTTCACTTCTTTGGAGACTGTGAAACAGTGGTAACTATTTTGCAAATAAGCTTTCTTAAAGAAGAAATTTTCCACAAAAAGTTATAGAACAAAATAGTGCTTATGTGATTCAATGAATTTTTCTTACTTTTTTTTTTTTTTTAACTGCTTTATTTTCATTTAACATTAACCCTCAAAACGTTACAAGTTTAGTCCTGAAATTTGAAAGTTCTTCAAAATGACACAAATAAATGGTATCTTCTAGACTATAATTATAAAAGAACTCTCTCACAATGACTCTCTCTCTCTTTGTACCTTGATTCCTTTTCTTCCACAGTACATCCAATCTGAAATCTGATAAATTAAAAGCTTGCAGGAATTTTCATGTGTAGTGAATAAGAAAACCACCCTTCTATACAGAATTTTACATCCATAATACTGAGAAGGTTAAAAAACTGTAGAACTTCCTGGATAATCCAGTATTTTGGTTTTCAACAGCACCATTAATTAAATGAATTTCACATTAAAGGGGCCCACCAGCGGCCGAGCGGTAAAGTCGCTGAACACTGGTAGTTCGGTCCGAGGTTCGAATCCCGCGAACGGGCTGGCTGCATGGGCGTTTTCGTGGTTTTCCCCATGTGTAACGTGTATACGAGCCAGTTTCCCTTAGAAAGTCCTCCACGAAGGCATCCCCTCCTCTTAGGCAGATAGCCCTCGAGGCTTTGCCATAATCACACACACACACATTAAAAAATGTATTCAAAATTGTCATGAAGATGAGTTAAAAACTATTATTTTTTTATATTATTCAAAATTTAAGTATTTTCATCTTATATTTCTGTATGCATGTGTTTATGTAAGCTCAGTTACAAGATGGCCTTGCATAACCTTGCACTTTTGAAAGTGTCTTATAAAGAAAAAAAGAATTATATGTAAAACAGGCATGAAAGATATGACTGACATGCTGAAGTATTCATAAGAAATAAATGACTGAAAGCCAGCACCTTTAAAACACTGCTGTGATAAAGGTTAGCACTGACTGCCATACTGATTGACCAGAATTCAAATAATCTCAAAGATGGCATGCAATTTTGCAAGTGTACATTATCTATATGTGGCACAGAGGCACTTATAATACTAGCTAACCAAGTGGTCTTAATAAGTCTTCCCAAATGGTTTGGTGGTAGGGGAAGACGAGAGATTCTCAGACTATCCCTTGGGTGTTTTCCATCAAAAGTTCAGGTAGAGCTGCAGAGTTAGATTGTACCAATAATGATGAAATTCTGGTAGTTTTCTCTTAATGTGAAAGTCCATACACAAGTGATAAATTTTGAAGTCATAGCATTTAGTCTCCTTTGTTAGCATAAACTAAGTGCAAACTCCTAATAAACTTGCATCAAATTATTGCTTGTCCGAAAATCTTAAAGAGGTTATTCAGACAAACCTTTTTATTTAGTCAGAACTGGATAATAAATGCACAACTCATGGTTACAAATCAGCCAGAAACTTGCGGCGATAAGAAACACTAAGTTTAAATTTAAAACAAGCAAACTTTACATTAGTAGTGAACAGCTAAACAAAAGAATGTTTGTTTGTGAAGTTGGCTAAAATGTCTCATCGGTGTAACAATTCAAATGTTGGCAACTATAATGCAAAGACAATAAATACAGTCTTATCCAAGTTAGCTAACCTAGTAGAGCAGCCTCAAGAGGCAGAAACATGATCTGTCTCACAATCCCACAACCTCAGCTTAAATACTCAATTTTATTTGCATTCTGGTGATGAAATGAAAGGGAGAAGTGATAGTAAAGATCCAAACCTTACAATAACTGGTTAATGAAAAATAATAGTAACCTTACAAAGTAACATATTAAGCACAAAAGGTGAGTACATTTCCTGGATGGGAATTTTAATGGGAGTTATCTTATATTTAAGCCATGAACTATACAGTATTTTATTTACACTGCTCACAAAAACATTTAAGTAATTTCTATGACAGAATTTATCTTAAATTAATCAAATTTGTAGAAATTACAAAATGATAATAAAAGAACTTTCTCTGTTTTACAGAAAATCTTTCTTTAATACAATGTACAGTCTCCTCTGACAGAAATTTCTTACTTAAACCTGCAGAATTCATTAAACTGTTGATCAAGGTCTTGTGGAATGCTTGGTGCTTTTAGTGCAATTTTCAGAGGATCCAGGGATGCATCTGGCATACTGCAATTTAGCAGTCTAGAGATGCTCACTAGTTTTCAAGATTGTAAATTAAGTATGCTGGCCAATCCATCTGAGTGATGTCATCTGCTAAATATTCTGATTGATGTTCAAATAGGTATAAAACAGATTAGCACTATCATCATGGGGGGATATGAGTCAACAGCATATCTAAACAGATTACAAAGGCTTCCAAAGATTTCATTCACACACCTGTGACTAGTTGCAAAGTTTCCATCAAAGATATTAGCTCTCTGAAGACCTTTTTATGATTCCACCTAATACTATGACACTGCTTCTGTGGCAATGAGCTATTTCATAAAAAAAGGAAGACAAGTTGTGTATCCTCACTTCTACCAGCTCAAAACATATCTAGGGTCACAGTTAAAGCTGTATCTGAATTTGTTATTAAACAGTACACAGTCCTATTTCTTTTTGTTCCACTGAACATGATGACATATCACTAACTCAATCCTTTCTGAAGTAAGCATAAAATACAACTTCATGAAGCTTACAAGTTGCAGAAGAACAGCTAACTTATGTTCCTGTGACAAACTAAAAGTATAAAACAAACTCTCTGGTAGTTGCTTCACAGTTTTTCAAGCTAATAGTGATAGAAAACAGCCTTTGGATATAATTACTGCTCTAGGTCACTCTTGACCTAACTCTGCTAACAGATTCATGATTAACCTTCCAGCACACGTGTGTCGTATTTTTTTACGACATCCGTTTATTTTACCATTTTTGGCATGGAAAAACAACAGAAATGAGTGAATATTGATAATAAATTTGTTAAGAAATAAAATATTAACCTTATTATTGCAAAGTACAAATGATATCACATTCAAATATAAGTAAATTATTTTTAAGTTCTTATGTTAGTGAGATGGAAATGCAATGATGTATTTCAACTATAGAAAATTTTAAATTTATTATTTAATAATTATATTTTAAAATTGAAGCTAATTTTAATATTCATCAAAGACAAGTATAGACAATAAAAAATGAAAACACCTCGGTAGGAAGAAAAGTAAGTTTAGCATTACTTACTTCTGCTAAGAAATTTACTTCTTACTGGTTACAAAAACGCACTTTAAACTAACTTTCATGTTTTTATTTATTTCAAAAAAATAGAAATAAAAGAAAAGGAATGGAAATCGCTAGTGTTCTCCCATCCAAAGGTTTCTTTTTTTCAACAGATAATTCTTGAAGAATCCAAGCAAAATCAGCTGGTTGCACATATTTTTTTTTGCCATGAAAACCGATATAAAATTTACAGAGCCAAATGTATTCACATTAAAATAATACACGGCAATTAATAACACAAAATGACAAAATATTTGAGAATAAAAACAATTTTCGAATTTTAAAACACAACCACGCGTGTGTCGTAAATTTTATGAAAAAGCTGCCATGTAACAGAAAAGCCCCCCCCAAAAAAAAACCCTTCAAATGACTTCCTGTTGGCACATTCCATAATGTGGGGAAGGGTAGAAAGGAGGAATAGAAATGACCTTCAGACGTCTCAGCTTTGATATGCGAAAAATGTGCATTAAAAACTGAATTTGACATAAATTTTGCACATACATGAATGCTAGAAGGTTAAAATGCAGCTTCGTGTTCTTGATATGACACTTCAAGGAATATTCAGATTTTGTATGACCATTATTTGCATTCGCCTCCCTTCCCTAAGTTTAATAATTTGAACATTTTAGAAATTTTAGCACCCTCACTTAAATTATGCTTTTGAGTCATAACTAATGAAAACTGAACAATCTGAAAAACCACATTAATTTTAAATAAACTATACACCTGAATCCCAACATGTGTCCATAAACAACATGTTGCCAATAACCTAATTTGCAAATTTCAACTGGGTTGCCACTCAAACAGGAGAATAAAATTCCTTGACTTTTCCAGGTGTGTTTCAAGAAAATTCCAGGCTATACATGTAGTGCGCATTGGCTGTGCTGAGGGTAAATTAATTATGGTACCACTTGAAAACACGAAAACTTGCCAATTACATATGACTTTATATATATATAATCCTCAAAGCATTACTTTTATATCTAATAATAGGAGTTGTTTTCACCACTGAGGATTGAGATTAGAATCTGCCCAATCGGTCTTAAAAAATATCTTTTCTACAGATATTTTGCAGGTAAAGGAAGAATGAAATCTATTTAATGAAAGTTTAAAATAAATTCAAGTATTTCATATTTATTTAGCAGCATACCTAAGTAAAAAATATGTGCACTAAATTTCATGATGATATGTCATATTAGCTGGAATTAGTTTCGTAAGTATGCCAGAGAAAATTGACTGAAATTTGAAAGTATTATTAACTAATAATAAATAAATTTAGCAGGAAGACAACACACTAAATGATATGAATAACATTAAAATAAAGTTAATTACTTAAGTATTAAACTGAATAACAGAAACCGACGGTATATTGGCGAACATAGATATATTAAATGGTTAGCCTAGACGACCGATTATTATTATTTTTTTATTTTACTACAAAATGAAAAACAAGGCATTTAAGAAAGAAGAAAAGGTTTAAAATATTTTGCTTTATACGAGAATGGGGGGAATTTACTTTCATTCAACATACAGTGCACATGCGAATCTCTGGATTCTCGAGGTTACTGGAAAGCAAAGATGCTGAAAACTTGCTTTGTCTTTCTAAAAGACAATCTGATTGGTGCTATGAAAACTGGCTCTACACCAGTTGTCTAAATAATGCTCACGCAATATGTGATTCGCCAAGAAAATGATCGCTTCTGATGTTAGCACGAAAATCCTTTTCTTGGGAATTGCAGCATGCAATTCCTTGACTTTTCCCAGTTTTCCACATAGCGTAGCAACCCTGTTTCAAGTGCTAACCAATGCAGAGAGGTCCAATTTTGTATTTAGTAGAAGATAATTTAATAATTACAAACATTAGACTACTGTTGCTGTTTAAAATCATTTACCAGTGAAAACATTTTTTACAATTATCCTTTAATTCCGATAAACAGTGCAATTTAATTTTTGCAAATGATATGATGCATTATTTCAATAATTCTTTTAGTTTCTAAAAATGATCACGTACCTAATTTACTGATAAAATGAAAGCCCCTTTAATAAATACTTCTCTCAAAAATTCAGTTAAACAGAATTAAAAAAGATAAAAATTACATTTCTCCACTAGTAACTGAAGTATCTTCTTTGGTACCATTCATTTTCTTTTTTTTCTTTTCTTTCCTCTTCTCTCGTTTACTTTTCAGAAACCCTAATATAATCACAATAAAATGGAAATTACATAAGCAAAAAGAAATGGTACCAAATACATAAAATAAAATTTAGATAAAAAATAAGAATACATTAAAAAGAAAAAAAAGAAAAAAAATAGAATTCAAAACAACAAGAAAGTACAGGGTTCATCAGAACTTTTATATTACTACTTGAGTTGGTTTACTTTAAATGGAGGATGTTTCTCTGCTTTTCAATAAATATTTCTGAAGAATTCAGTTGCAAAGAGATATCAAAGAACACAACATTAATTCACTTATGTAAGAATTTTACATAAATAATATGAATTATGTGATCAATCAATATTAATTTCAGAAAAGTTTGAATTTATCCCAACCTTCTGCATAATCAGCCCACACCAGCAGTCACACATCATGATAATTATGATAGATGAAATATCTATGGATATAAGAACAATGCAGCTAACCAAATCATTTCTGCATTTTATTCCTTTCTTAGTCTATATCTGAAATTTGAAGTCTTCAGAATACCAGCATTTTCACAATTCAACAGCCAAACCATTAATTTTAGCAAAAAGTGCACAGATGCGCCAAAATATAATGGGTGATAAACCCAAGAGACTGTATATCAAAGGCTAACAGAGAAATGATTCTCCACCTCCTCCCATGCTGGACTTTGGCATTTCAACCATCAGTCTTTGTCAGATAGTCCAATAAAGTGCAGTAACAATTAAAAAGTTAACATCATCTACACAATTATTGTTTGTAATGTCATTAAGAACAGAATTAGCTGTAGATGTTGCTTCTCAGTCATGTCAGCCAGGCATATTTGTGACTTTATTAGACCCATATGATAGACAATGGACATATTTGTGACTTTATTAGACCAATAGGATGGGGATGACTTGTCATGCTCAACTCTGAGACAAAAATTTTATCTAGGGTGATTGCGAGGAAATTGATTTTTCAGTAAGGAACTCCAAAATTTCTCCCCAGCCAATTTTTCAAAGACATTTTGCCGATGTTGGATTTTATAAGGCTCTTTACCAGAGCAAAAGTTAACAAGAGAATGCCGTTGAGATTTGTCAGAACTAGGCTTAGCCGAGCTATCTACCAGATCCATTCGCAATATTACAAAGGCTAGGTATCCATTGCAAAGCAATAAGTTATCTGCTTTTCAAAAGAAAGAATTCTATTTTTCAATCTAGCAGTCATAAGGCAATTTCATACCACCACTTGACAAAAAATAAAGTGCTTTAATAACATCTGGATAACAATAAAGGTTATATTTGAATAACTATTATCTAGGTACCCATTGCAAAGCAATGTGTCATCTGCTTTCCAAAAGAAAGAATAATCTAGCAGTCATAAAACACTTTTATACCACTGACTGCCACAAAATAAAGTGATTTAATGGTAGACTGGACAACAATAAAGTTTATATTTGAATCCTTCTCTTGCCAAATTCCACAACAGAGAAATGATAGTGACTTGAAAAATGGATCTTTTAAAAAAGAAACTTTTGCTTTCAAAGTGTGAGTTAATTTAAATCTTTCATACTGCATACTTTGTATTCTTGCTCATTAAAAGCATAGGTAAAAAAAATTATTGTCCATGACATTTCCAAAATCATTCAATTCGCTGATGCACCTCCTTACAGCAAATGAATTTTTTTTTTTCACTAAATAATTATCAGTAAGAGTTTAAAATAACTTTAAAATAAATATTACATGTTAAACAATGATAAAATAAATACTTGAACAAACAAAAATATGTAATATTAAATACTCCTTTGAAATTAGAGCTTTATGGCCATTTTTATGATACTACTACTATTCTAAATTTATATTTGATATATTGATAAGGTATATCTTATAACTTAAGATTTTCTAAAAGTAGAGCATTTAATAATTTTTTAAAATCAAAATTTGTAGCAATTATTTTTCAATATTTTTTAAACTTTAACAACAGATAAACTGAAAAAGAATTACTATATTCTAAAGAAAATATTTTACTATACATATGTATTTTCTTAAAAAAACATTTCTTATAAAAGTTAATTTTTGAAGAGTTATTTGTCTAAAGTAAAAATATTTACTACATTATGATTTAAATAAGAACACATAATGCAATAAAATATGAAAATATGATTAATTAGATATTTTTTTAAACAGCAAGTATACTATATTCAGTATTTTTATCTACTTTACAAAAATAAATCAGTGGTTAACTAACTATTACTTTTATCATTTAAACATTTATTAAAACTAAGGGAAGAAACCACTCTATTTCAACCTTTAATAGTTAAGTATAAATGAAAATGTTATAGTGAAGAACATGCTATACCACTGAAAGCAAGCATTTTATATGTTCATGAAAAGCTGAAGAAAAATCAAAGATTAAGAAGAAACAAAGTAGACTGTAGCCACCTGAACTCCAGGAGTTCCAATAAGACTGCCAGTCTGTTTTCCAAGGTACCACAGCATGAGAAAAGACAGCAAATGTTAGTAATTAGACATTTGAAAGTTAAAAATGACACAGGAGATTTTTATATAGCATGAGAACATACACAGAACCACAATCAAAAAATGCATTTGAATATTAGTTTTCATTCATAAAGCACATATAGTAAGTTAGTAAGCAAACCAAAAGTATTTCTCATTTTTTTTTTTTTTTTCATAAACCAAAAGCATTTCTCATTATTTTTTATACTTTTTTTAATTATTGAAAGAAATTGTAAAAAGTCAATTCACACTTAAAATAACAGGTGAAATTTAAGAAAACAGTACATTAGTTTCAAACGGGTACATGAAAATTTTTATTTTTTCATTAATGGACCACAGAGAGAAATCCGAATAGTTTAATTTATTCTAAAGTGTGCACTCTTGCCATTTTTCATGTATGATGATGTAAATACATACTTTATTTAGTTAAGTAATTATAATAATATTTTAATATTATGAAAATTTAATTCCATTAAACACACCACATAATAATGACTACTAGAAGTAGATATTATAAATCTGTAATTTATCTAATTTTTGAAAATAAATTTTTTAGGTCCTACATGTAAAAAATAAAAATTTTTTAATAAAACTTTTCTTTTTTAATGTACAAAACGTTTACTATTTACAAAATCACACTGTTGTAATAGATTATTACTATTACTTTAATAGGTAATAGTAATTTCATTTATGACTTTCCTTTATGACTTTATGGACTTGATCTATCATTTTTCAATGGAGGGAAAAAACAGTGAATGTGATGAAATGATTAGGGCAGGAAGCTAATATTTTTAATATATGAAGATTTAATTCCATTAAACACACCACATAAAAATGACTTCTAGAAGTAGATATTATAAATCTGCAATTTATCTCAATTTTGAAAATAAATTTTTTAGGTCCTACATGAAGAAATAAAAATTTTTTAATAAAACTTTTCTTTTTCAATGTACAAAATGCTTTTACTATTGCTTTAATAGGTAATAGTAATTTCATTTATGAATTTATGACTTTATGGTAGGTACTTGATCTATCATTTTTCAATAGAGGAAAAAAACAGTGAATGTAATGAAATGATTAGGGCAGGAAGCTATTATATATTACAAATAACCATCATACTGTAAATACGTAGCCTTTATTATTTTCAACACAAATACATTAAATTAAAATTACTTTAAAAAAAAACAGATTATTTTCTTTATTTTATTGGCTTAATATTGTCTCATGGTCAAATGTGAAATTTTACAGTATTAGTGTGTTGCCTGGTTTATAATCCAAATAGAAGATAACAAAAAAGTAAATATGTACACTGTGCCAAAAAAAAGGGGGCTTCTATATCTTTCGTTTTACTGGGGCAATTGACAAAATTCAAATTGCGTTTTTCATGTCTTGAAAGCGCGACTTAGGATATATATTAGATTTATATACAGCATTGTTCTAACATAGGTATTTTGACACAAAAATGGACTTTTTCTGAAATAACATACCAGTTTTATTCCATATTTCGATTCTACAAGTCAATTGCGCCTAGATATTAAATTTCGTAAAATTTGGTGCGAAATTTATGGAGAAATTCAAAATTTTATCTTGGCACAATTTTTTCAGTTTGCGCCAAGAGTAATTCACTTGGCGAATCTCTTAATATGTGGCAACCAATTATCTTTTCCCTTCCATTATGCTGGAGTGGAAAAAAAAGGATCTCGTTCCTACCTTTTTACATTGTATATGAGCGGAAAAAAGTCGCTGCATTTCTACTTCCAAATAATTTTAGCAGTGTCTAAACCACATTTGATGTTTTATCGCTTTCAACAAATATGCTAAACTTGATGTATATCTTCGGAAAAACTGTTTGAATAAAAAACTGTAATTTTTGGCAGGTATGCTTAGAAATACGTCTACTTTAAGATGATGGTAAAAATTTTATTGATTATAATTCAAAAATGTTTTTGAAAATCTTATAAAAATGATTTAAAAACACAAATTTTAAAAATAAATAATAAAAAATGGGTGAATTTTATTTGGAATGAACCTAAATTTTGAAATGTGAAAGGAAGAATCGAATAAGTTTAATAAAAAAAAAAGAGATTAATAAACATATACCAAACTCAATTAACATTGAGGAGCTAAAACTTTGAGAGCTAATTTTTTAAAAACTACTCGTGTGATTTTTACAAAATTGGGTAGCTGGTGTAATTTGAGTCGTAGAATCGAAATATGGAAAAAAATTGGTATGTTACTTCAGAAAAAGTCCAATTTTCTGACAAAATACCTATATTAGAACAATGCTATATATAAATCTAATATATATCGTAAGTCACGCTTTCGACACATGAAAAACGCAAGTTGAATTTCGTCAATTGGCCCAATAGAACAGGAGATATAGAACTGCCCCCCTTTTTTTTTTTTTTTTTACCTGTGCAGTGTACATCAGCATTTCTTTTTCCAAATGACTTATGATATGGTTTAGTGGAAACATGATTTACAATCCAGTTATACACTAAAATGAAACTTAATGGGAACAAATAATAAAGAACTTCATTTGAGACCATAAATGGCGAACAATAAATGTTGGGAAATGAACACTGTAGGAATGATAGATCAAAGTTCTACTGTAAGGATCCAAAAGAAAGTCCATTTATAGCATTTTCATTTTTGAATGAAGGATCACAGACTAAACACTTGATTTCTAGTAATATGAACAAGCTTGATTCAATCTATGTCACATAAGCACAAAATTGTTGAAACTTACGGAAATAATCTAGCTACGCAATAAAGTATGATAGAACTTAACATCTTCTCTGGTATTATGATTATACTTATCATAAAATATTACATTATATATTAATGAAATGAATATCGTGACAACAGAGGCTTTAAGATTATTTATGCATTCAATACTAGAAGTGCAGTACTTCATCCCACGGATGGCTCATAATGCTATCAATTTGTCAACTCCATACATTCCGTTTTTCAAATGACTTTGCACGCTGTCTTTATGTATGCTTTTGCCATTCCAAGTCTGAGCATTAAGATAATGAAATTGTCAGAGCTATGAGTTCTATATATTTTATATAATATAGAATAGTATCTCCTAATTATTCCATACAAGCTGTATTTCTAGATATAGTATACTCATTATAATTAGATGGTGCATAATTTTGCAATTAATCATTTTCTTCTATCTCATTTTGTTGCAAAGTTAGATTTGATAATTCTCCCATTTTTATATTAGAAGCACTGCTAAAATTTTCACATGATCATACATTACAAGAGAAAAATCTAAAGTGCACAATGTAGAACCATCAATTTCAACAAAAGAAATGCCTACATATATATTTTTTTTTTTCTGGATCTGCATCTTATATGATATAGATTACATTCCTAGCATAAGTAGCAAAGACAGACTATTTCTGAGGAACTTATTATGCTGATTATGCTGGTTGAATACTTTGAAACAGATCTGCTTTCAATTTTGCAATCTTTATTTATTTTAATGCTTAGTTTCAATACATGCGTTTATTTGAAAAAGAATTTCTTTTCTTTTAAATTGGCAAATTATGGCATTTACTTTTAAACCTTATTCATAACTTAGTTAAAGATTTTTACTTAATTAAGAAATATTAAAATTTTCTTTTTCACGATAATAATTACTTTTAAATATTTATTACAGAAACTGATTGATTTCTACAATATTTAAAGTAAAATTGCTTTTCTAAATGCTACTAAAATTTATTATTCATGCAAACAATATTTTAATTCTTTAAAAAAAAAATCCTGCGTGATTTAAAAATCATTTGTTACAAATGATCAATACACTATATCTGAAGCCTGTTGATCTATATTAGCATACCTTGATACACATTCACTTAAAAAACTCAATAAAATGAAAATATATCTCAAAATTTTCAATTTGAAAAATATAATTCTGAATGGCAAGAGTTTTGATACATAACTTTTATAATTTACATTCAAGCCACTTTAAAACAATTTTCAAAATTGAACTTACTAACTACAGATTCACTCTTTTAAGATAATTCTACTAAAATTAATCTTATCAGATAATATAATCAATATTTCTTTAGTAAATAAATTATATATATATATATTGTATATACTTGTATATATACATATATAGTGTGTATAAATTATTTTGATGATAAAATATGAAATAAATAAATAAAGTTCAGTATTTAGTTGAATATGCACATACCAGTTCACTGAGGTTCCACAAAGACAAACCTTTCATCAATAAACGAAAAGCATGTAAAATTTATATTCCACAGATGTGTGGAATATCAGAAAATTACTCAATAAACACCTACAAGCAAAACTGAGTTCATAGCAATATATTACACAGAAAAGCAAATAAGAATGCAGTACAGTATGAAATAGAATAAAAGCAAAATTCATTTCACAGCTATAAAAACAAATCTAAATAACATGCACATTTTTTTGTTCAAGCAAACCATCACCGCCGAGAACACTGAAGTTAGTATGGAAAGAACAAGAGAAAGATATAACACTGAAGGAAAATATTAAACACGACAATGCTTACACAAGACAGGAAACATTTATACAGTAGCAAATAAAAGGAGACATTTGTGCAGAATAGAATTGTAGTTTCCTTAAGAAAAGCATTGAGATTTGCTCAGTGCTCTGATACCAATTCACTAGTTTCTTACGATAATGAAGGTTACATTTAAATCTTACTTTACACTTCATCTTTATTAATCAACAAACAGCAATATATTTAACATATAACATACTTTTCTTTTTAACTTTACCCACTTTTAAAAAGAAAGATTTAAAACAACACACTGAATAAAGAATTAATATAACATACACCAAAATCACAAAATTTACATTTCGTTTGGAAATTTTAAATGGGAAGAAAATACAATATATTGCTTAAAAATAATTTTCTGGCTTATTATGTTATAACTGGAACCACAGAATCT